TCATTGACATCGTGTACGGGTACAGCAGAGAAATGTCATCAGCCGGCCGTTTCGGCTGTCTCCCATGGTAGCATCTGGAACTGCTCATTTGTGACGTCATTCAGACTTTACGTCACAATATGATTTGAATGACGTCATCACAGCTGACGACGTAACAATACAATGGTGTGAGCGATGTTTGTATGTATTAATTCACAGCGAATTTCCGGGAATCGAATACCATTTGATCACATTTTTCAACCAATCAGATGAAAAAAACACTGTGACTTTTGGTTTACAATGGTAGATATCAATAAAATTCACCTTATTGCCCAATTTTGTATTGGTTAGAAGGTTCATGGGTTGTGGATCAATTAATACCTGCATTCCTATTACAAGACCTGCATTCTTATTACAGGACCCACATTCCTATGAGAGGACCTGCATTCTTTTTACAGGACCCACATTCCTATTAGAAGACACACATTCCTATTACAAGACCTGCATTCTTATAACAGGACCCACATTCCTATGAGAGGACCTGCATTATTTTTACAGGACCCACATTCCTATTAGAAGACACACATTCCTATTACAAGAACTGCCTTCTTATTAGAGGACCCACATTCCTATCAGAAGACCTGCATTCTTTTTACAGGACCTACATTCCTATTAGAAGACACACATTCCTATTACAAGACCTGCATTCTTATTACAGGACCCACATTCCTATCAGAAGACCTGCATTCTTTTTACAGGACCTACATTCCTATTAGAAGACACACATTCCTATTACAAAACCTGCATTCTTATTACAGGACCCACATTCCTATTACAAGACCTGCATTCTTTTTACAGGACCCACATTCCTATTAGAAGACACATTCCTATTACAAGACCTGCATTCTTATTACAGGACCCACATTCCTATTACAAGACCTGCATTCTTTTTACAGGACCTACATTCCTATCAGAAGACCCACATTCCTGTTAGAAGACCTGCATTCCTGTTAGAAGACCTGCATTCCTATCAAAGGAACTGCAATCCTGGTACAGGACCCACATTCCTACTACAGCACATGCAATTGCATTCTTATCAGAAGACCTGCATTCCTATTTCGGGACAGCCAGTGGTACAACCAGGGTGTCTGCAATGGAGTGAAGACAAACGAAGCAGTATAATTGAGACGTTTATTCATTTCAGCATACCCATCTGAAGTAAGTGACAGATTGATGAACTGCTGATTGGTGGTGGAATAAGTAGAAAACATCATCACATTCACAGTAACAGAAAACATTCAAAATAGAAACAGGTATTAAAGCTCAGATGACCATGACAGTCATGTCAATAAAGAACAGATGTAAGCCAGACAACTGAAAGAGCTGAAGGAAATATATTTCTGTTACACATTTTTCATGTCTATCATGGATGAAGAATTCCCACTGTGACACAAGGATATTTAAATACAAGTAAAAAATATCCTTCCTTTCCTGAACTGTTTGTGTAAACATAATTCATTTTGTGATCATGTTGAAAAAATTCTATAAATAGATGCTAACAAGTTTGGGAGAGCACCTCTGTTCAATACCAGGTATCTCAACTCCAATATGGACACTATATAAGAAATGTCATGTAAACTATTTTTAGTTGATAGCCCCTTTTTAATTGCACTTTAGTTTAACACCTATCAATACGAAGGTTAGCAAGTTCGGACACCAAATAGATAACAGGAAGAAAGAAACCACCCAAAATTTTTAAACATCATGACTGACAATGTGTAAATTCATTCATTTTATGATCCTCCAATAGCCAGTAAATATACTGATGGAAACAAATAAGGGAACAAATTATAGTACAAGAGTTTGTATATTTTCCAAATATTGCACTGTGGGTCAAAATCTAAAAATAAATACCTACTATTTTCATGTGTTACCTTATTTGTTTCCATCAGTATATTTCCTAATCTAGCCATTACGATTCAGCATGTTGCTCATAACTGGCTAGAACTTCTACAATGCCAGTTACTATGCATGCAAATATCTCCTGAAAGACAAATCAGTCCTTTAGTTTTTGTATTGCATGAAAAGATCATGCATACATCATGCACATAGAGTATAGTCTTGTATGAAAATACCACAGATGAACCTTGTAAGATAACAAAAATTACAGACTGTACTGAAATGACAAGGGAAAACATTGAAATACAAGTCTATATACAAGTATTTACATTCACATTTAAATCTGGAAAACTAATTCCGAGAACTTGATACAGGCACGCCACAACCTACATTTGAAACAGTTCTCACCACATTGTTTTGCAGCTCCTGAAAACTGAGATGAACTATGATTCAAGCATGAGTGAGTGAGTTTGGTTTTATGCCACTTTAGCAATATTCCAGCAATATCATGGCGAGGGGACACCAGAAATGGGCTTCACACATTGTACCCATGTGGGGAATTGAACACGGGTCTTCGGCATGAAGAGCGAACGCTTTAACCACTTGGCTACCCCACCACCACCCCAAGCATGACTTAAGTAATATGTGATTGTAACTGGTTTAATAAAAGTCAGTCTCAGATATGTAATCAAGTTTTACTGGACTCAGATATTCCGTTTCACAACTGTACGCTTTACGTTAATACCCTATTTTTGTTTGACCATCAATATGGCGGACACCAAATTACCAATACAATGGATTACAGCGATTTTGATGTGAGAAATTACACATCTGTTTGTAAAGATGGCTCTGATAATGCGCTGGAATCGTTACTTAATGAGTCAAATTGCAGAAACATTATATAAATAAATTACTTCACAAACAGAAAATAATATTCAGTCAACAAGCCTGGTCACTAAAATCAAGTCTCTAAATGGTCTCTTATAGGATATTTATATAGCGCACATATCTAGGCGACTAGTGCTTGCTCAAGGCGCTGATATCGGACTCCTTATCAGATATAGAACACCTCTACTCTTCAATAATCGGATATCCATGACTGTAGCGCGGTCATACAACCACACAAGCACGGTCGGTTTTAAAATATACTCAACCAAAAAAGTTAAGGGACACCCCAATATTCAATATTTAAGCAATATATGGATCATAATATGAACTGTTAAATACTTTAATATGTCGCTTTTAGAGATATTCCAACAACATCACAGCGGTGGACACCAGAATGGGCTTCACACATTGTACTTGTGTGGGGAATTGAACCTGGGTCTTCAGCGTGACGAACAAACGCTTTAACCACTAGGCTACCCCACAGCCCCTCACAAGAATGGCTATGGTGCTGACAAACCTAGAGACATAATCAAGGTTGCCGATTGCTGTTTGCTATTTCCGGCTCTGTTCTCAATCCCCTGCATTAATACAACCCCTCACAAAAACAAATTTGAACCAAAAAGGTAAATAATCTTGTATAGTGATGTTTAATTGACATCTTCACTAACAAAGTTCTTTTCTCTTGTCTTCATCAGGAAAAAGTACAACCTTCAGATAAGCCAACCCCTTTCTACAGAATGCTTCTTGGGGTCCTCAAAATTCGACTTATCCTATGGGGTCATTTGAACCACAGTTTTCTGGAGTTCCAAAGATGCAGCTTTGCAATGTGAATTCCATTGTTGAATAGGACATCACTAATGACTGAATGAAGATGAATGGACTTGTCCCTGATATATTCTTTAGGAAGTATGCAGGTCTTCCTGATTGAGTGAGTGAGTGAGTGAGCCTTTTAGCAATATTCCAGCAATATCACTGTGGGAGACACCAGAAATGGGCTTCACTTGTACCCTTGTGGGGAACTGAACCCAAGACTTCGGCATGACGAGCAATGCTTTAACCACTTGGCTACCCCACCACTCCAGAGGATGATACTTATAAGTGAACTCTGGAGAGTGAATTCCAGTGAACTGAAATGTTCTGAAGGCCACAAGATAGAGATATATTTTGCAAAAGATGGTAATCTAAACAAAATACATTACAGTCAGTGGGCGAAATAGTTTCCAAATTTTGCTAGCCAGTCGGGCCAGCTATGCCTGAAAGTTACTAGCCCACAAAATAATTCACTTGCCTGAAATTAGGATGTAGAAACTATACAAAAGCTAACAAAAAATAGATGAGAATAAGATATTGTAGGCTTGGCAAGGGTTTCATCATTAAGCTGCTAATATGATGAACATTTTTATCAGGCCATAATCTTGCATGATTTAAAGTGTATTATAACTTAGCAAGTCAGAGAGAGTGATATATTTACAAAATGACGCCATGAAAATTCACTAGGCAGTCGGGCCATTGACTGTGGAGATTTACTGGCCCACCTGAATTTTTACTAGTCACGGGCTAGCAGACCAGTGGCTATTTCGCACACTGATTACAGTGCTAAGTTGGGAATGTGTAATTGAACATCTTTCCAGTAGTTCTATATATAAAGTCAAGTTCCCTATGGTTCCAGGAAAGTGTGGTGGAAACAAAATAATGGTTATAAATGATGTGTAGGATTCTTCTCTCAGTTCATGAGTCCGATCAAACCATGTTTGATGTCATGTTTCATCCTGACCTTCAAACACATGGTCTACAGAATTGGACATGTCTGAAGTAGGCCACGCCAGGGAATTACAACGCACAAACTACGAGAACGGTTTCCTTGGTGACTGAACTTCACACAATTCTCAATACTTTGATTGTTCAAGGACTGAGGTTTTGATTTCTGGTGAACTCAAGGGATAGACTCATTGTCAGATCTTGTGATAGTTGTGTGTTCTGGTGAACTCAAGGGATAGACTCATTGTCAGATCTTGTGATAGTTGTGTGTTCTGGATGCCAACCATAAAGCAGTCACTTGCCAGGAAGGTGGCGTCTTGCCATCAAAGTGGTGCCTCCCATCATGAAGTTGGTGTTTTCTACCATTTAGGTAGAGTCCATATCATAAAGGTTGTGTTCTACCATGAAGGTGGTGTCCTATTACCATGAAAGTGGTGCCCTATGACCATGAAATTGGTGTTCTTCCCTGAAGGTAGTGTTCTAACCTGAAGGAGGTGTCCTATTACCATAAAAGCGGTGCCTTATGTTCATGAAATTGGTGTTCTTCCCTGAAGTCAGTGTTCAAACCTGAAGGAGGTGTCCTATTACCATGAAGGTGGTGCCTTATGACCATGAAATTGGTGTTCTTCCCTAAAGGTAGTGTTCTTCCTGAAGGAGGTGTCCTATTACCATGAAGGTGGTGCCCTATGACCATGAAATTGGTGTTCTTCCATGAAGATAGTGTTCAAACCTGAAGGTGTCCTATTACCATGAAGGTGGTGCCCTATGACCATGAAATTGGTGTTCTTCCCTGAAGGTAGTGTTCAAACCTGAAGGAGGTGTCCTATTACCATGAAGGTGGTGCCCTATGACCATGAAATTGGTGTTCTTCCTGAAGATAGTGGTAGGTGTCCTAAACCTGAAGGTGTCCTATTACCATGAAGGTGGTGCCCTATGACCATGAAATTGGTGTTCTTCCCTGAAAAGATAGTGTTCTAACCTGAAGGAGGTGTCCTATTACCATGAAGGTGGTGCCCTATGACCATGAAATTGGTGTTCTTCCCTAAAGATAGTGTTCAAACCTGAAGGTGTCCTATTACCATGAAGGTGGTGCCCTATGACCATGAAATTGGTGTTCTTCCCTGAAGGTAGTGTTCAAACCTGTAGGTGTCCTATTACCATGAAGGTGGTGCCCTATGACCATGAAATTGGTGTTCTTCCCTAAAGATAGTGTTCAAACCTGAAGGTGTCCTATTACCATGAAGGTGGTGCCCTATGACCATGAAATTGGTGTTCTTCCCTAAAGATAGTGTTCAAACCTGAAGGTGTCCTATTACCATGAAGGTGGTGCCCTATGACCATGAAATTGGTGTTCTTCCCTAAAGATAGTGTTCAAACCTGAAGGTGTCCTATTACCATGAAGGTGGTGCCCTATGACCATGAAATTGGTGTTCTTCCCTAAAGATAGTGTTCAAACCTGAAGGAGGTGTCCTATTACCATGAAGGTGGTGCCCTATGACCATGAAATTGGTGTTCTTCCCTAAAGGTAGTGTTCAAACCTGAAGGAGGTGTCCTATTACCATGAAGGTGGTGCCCTATGACCATGAAATTGGTGTTCTTCCCTAAAGATAGTGTTCAAACCTGAAGGTGTCCTATTACCATGAAGGTGGTGCCCTATGACCATGAAATTGGTGTTCTTCCCTAAAGGTAGTGTTCAAACCTGAAGGTGTCCTATTACCATGAAGATGGTGTCCTGCCATGAGGATGGCGTCACTTTATTACCATAAAGAAGGTGTCATACCATGAATATGGTGTCATTCTATTACCATGAACGTAGTGTCCTATGATCATGAATGTAGTGTCCCAACATACACATGGTGTCATTCTATTTCCATGAATGTGATGCCCTAACATGAAGGTAGTGTCCTATTACTTATGAAGGTGGTTCCCTTCCGTGGAGGTGGCGTCCTTCTAATACAACAAAGGTGGAGCCATACCACGAAAATGTCTTTACTCTCGTACCTATAATTCAAAGTCAACTTCACCTGATGGAAACAGAAAACACTGCAATGTTCGGTATCACAGTTTCCCTGATTATCTCAAAACAAATAATTTTTCAGAACAAGTGAGAGAATTACAAATCTTCAGCAATAATCCTTGCAGTGCACACTAGGAACCCATGTGATTCCTATTTGGAGAATGGAACCAGTTAGACTAAGTCTTCTGCATGACAAGCCACCCTTCAATATTTTGAAGTCTTTGAATTAATTCACAAGTTGCAAATCAGTATATTGACATTATGCCACCATCCTGTTTATATATAGTCTTCCATACTCAATTGTCCAGAAACATCACATTTTGTAAAATCGCAAACCATCTTCATAATTTTCATTCACTAATTCAATCGATTCCATATGGAATTGTAAGGTCAGGAAACCCCCACAAAACAACCCTATACTTCTGTTAAAGACATGTTGTCGAATAGACAACTGGTTTTTTTTATCAAATCCAATTATTTCTCTTCCATTTGTTTCAAATAAACATCAACCAGGATCAATACAATGAAAAAAGGTCACAAAGACTGACTGACTGACTGAGTTTGGTTTTACGCCGCTTTCCAGCAATATTCCAGCTACATCACGGCGGGGGACACCAGAAATGGGCTTCACACATTGTACCCATGTGGGGATTCGAACCCGGGTCTTCGGCGTGATGAGCCAAAGCTTTAACCACTAGGCTACCCCACCGCCCCCAGGTCACATAGAACGCACAAGAACATTATGATACAAATAATAACTTATTGAATATGTTCATGACTCTTCATTTAATCAAACATAATCATCATCCTTCAATCATTATGATGAATTACAGAACAGGGAGGGTCAAGGGGTAACACTGTACAGCTGTTTACAGGTGTTGTCCCATAACAACACATATACACTCATCAGTATAATTACAGGAACATGGTATCACGATGATCAATGAAAGATAGTAATCACAATAAATTAAGAGTAACAAAGAATGGACCTACCTATGAAACATATCTACATAGTGAGCATAAACAGCAATGTAAACAGCAAGTAAAGCTGATTGGGAAGAATGATCATTTTATATAGATAATTTTTAATTCAGGTGATATATTACAAACAGGTACAAAATTTGTATAATCATTTTAACACAATAAACTTATTAACCACATGTGCCCTTCTGATGACTAAATGATATGCACCCAGCAGTTTAGATAAGACTCAAAATAAGGTATGCCTTTCTTTTGATCAAATGATGGGTACCCGGTAGTTTTAGGATTTCACCTGTGCCTCTATGATGACTATATGATGACATCCAACAATCAGAATACCTAAACGACAGGTATGCAGTAATTCACATAAGATTTCTGTTGTGGTTTATCATCGGAGCATGTTGAGAATATGCTCAGATTTGAATTTTTACTTTTCCTAGATGAAAACTCCCCACCAAAAACGTCAAATTCCGCACAAAAACAAAGTATCAACAAAGACAACATTTATAGTACAAGATAGTAAATGATCAATTATCTATTTCATGGAAGCAAAAAAAGTAAATCTAAATGACCAGAGAAGTTAGAACATTCACAAAAAATTCAAGAAAGAAAAGATTCCAATAACATTATATATTGATATTCATGAATACAACTGTATTCCCTCGAATAATTTCCATATGATATGAGTCAACATATCTGATACATATTCCATACATCATCAGAAGTCATTGACCGATGCCACATTAGGTAAAACAATGGAACAGTCAGGTACAAAATATGCATAACAGCGCTCACAGAGGCTATGGCACCTGTATAATATCATGTGCCGTCCAACCTCGTCAACAGTTCCGGACACACCATGAAATATACGTCAACAGGGAACTGCGAGGTTTTACAATCTTGTGAAACAATGTGTGTAATTTCTCGAAGTACTGCTGGCCATGTAGGTTAACTGGTCTGAGAAGTTATAATCCAGTTTTAAATTTCAATATGCATTAGTTTCTGTTTCCAGGATTTGAACTACGTAAAAAAAAGTGTCAACAACATAAACCCTAATTACAAATTACCCAAATCCTAATTATAAAGTCAAATATTTTAAATGGGGGATAGGCTTGATCTTGAAATATTAACTTGTTTCAGATATTGAATTAACTTTTCGATGGTTGTATTGAACTACAGAAATGAGAGGACATTTCAAAGCCTATAGTCCGTCCGAATCTTTGCCTGGGCAAGACAGCTCGTTCCAAATAGCTGTCTGACATGGGAATAAGAATTAAAGGATGTTAAACTCTGTCTTCATTGAATTGTACTATGACAGCTAGGATCACTGTGCTCGGTTTCAGTCACTGGATTGCCTGGTGCATCGAACTGATGTAGTCTGAATATTGCGGACTGCCCCCTAGTACAACCTTCCCTGACTAATATTGACAGCACTGCTGTACATCCAGTCCTATTTATACATAAGAAGACTTCAACTTCACCAGGGTTCTGATCCACAAAGCGTTCGAACTGCTACGACATTCGTAAGCCTATGATGGACTGTGGAGTTACGATAGGTCGTAACACTTCAAAGCATTGAGAATCAGATCCCCAAAGCATTCAAGTGCTATGACATTCATAAGCCAATGATGGACCGTGGAGTTACGACAGGTGGTAACTTTTCAAAGCATTGTGAATCAGATCCCCAAAAGCATTCAAGTGCTACGACATTCGTAAGCCTATGATGGACCGTGGAGTTACGACAGGTGGTAACTTTTCAAAGCATTGTGAATCAGATCCCCAAAGCATTCAAGTGCTATGACATTCATAAGCCAATGATGGACCGTGGAGTTACGATAGGTGGTAACTTTTCAAAGCTTTGTGGATCGAGAGAAGAACTCCAAACAGGGAGAGAAAGTCAGATAAAATCTAAAGAAATAGTCGTCGATACCACATAAAACAGAGAAAAGAAAGACACACAATATTATGACAGAATGACACAGTTAGTAGATTCATAAATACAAATGTCAGAGATCATGCCCAAGAAAGTACATGTACCTCAGGATCAAGTCAGTCACAGTATTGTTTACCTGTCAGGGTTAAAGAGAAGCAGCCATGACAGGCTGAAATACACCAAATCACCTCCATCATGAAAAATATATTTTAAAAATATGAAAAATGAAAATTCATGGTAGTCTGAGCCTGAGAGAACTAAATTGTGCTGAGGATAGTTAAGAATCCATTTTCTTTTAGTCATCACTGACAACTAGCATCTGAGGGCTTAACTCTCCACCGCCTCTCAATGTTTCAATTTGGCAGTTTCAAATCTTTTCAGTTCCAGCTACAAACACTCAGGAGTAACCAAGTAACTAGTATTTCTTAGGCTGGACTCATATCATGACAACTGATAATTAATATTTAATTATCTGTGATTCTAAATCTAGAATTAGCAAGAAGATGCATTAACATATTGACAAGTCAATCCTTTCAACTTCGAGGTTACGACAAAGACCCTTTGACTTTCCGGATGAATTTTTAACACTTCAGTGTTTGTATCTGTTAAAGCACATATCAACAAATATGGACTGAGACTCCTCATTATCGTCAGCTAAGTGCATTTGCGAATATCAAAAATGAGGCCACCTGGTCCACTCATGCATCTTCCAGTCTCTATCTCTAGTCTAGAAATATCTCAAGACAAGATGAAAGAGCTTTGGGTTGTTCAAACACAACGACATACAAGACTTATTAGTTATTCTAAACAGATGTACTCACTACGAGAGTAACGCCTTTCTGACATTGGCAGACTGTATTGACATGAAAGATCAATGTCACTGGAACAGTGAGTGAGTTCAGGTTTACACCGTATTTAGCAATATTCCAGCAACATCACAGCGGGGGACACCAGAAATGGGCTTCACACATTGTACCCATGTGAGGAATCGAACCCGAGTCTTCAGCGTGATGAGCGAACACTTTAACCACTAGGCTACCCCACCGCCCCTAATGTCATTGGATCAGTGAGTGTGTGAGTGAGTACAGGTCTACTCCATATTTAGAAATATTCCAGCAATATCACGGCGGAGGACACCAGAAATGGGCTTCACACATTGTACCGATGAGGGGAATTAAACCCGGGTCTTCGGCTTGATGAGCTAACGCTTTAACCACTGGGCTACCCCACCGCCCCATCGTTGGAACAGTAGGTCATGGCATATCAGCTTAAAGTGGGAAGAAAGCTTGACGTGATGCAGATCTAACATGTTTACCACTCTGATGAAACCCAGGGTCCTGATCCAGTGTTCGTAACGTTATGACCTTATGTCCCCAAGGGAGGCAACTCTGCAGAGCTTACTGCAGCATCATACACAATGCTTCTGCAGACCATATGGGAAACTAAACTTATAGTAGGGAAATTCATAATTATGGTAGCTCATCCCTCATGCCTGAGCAATCGAAATTCAATGAAAGTTGTTATTCTTTAACTTCTCTGCCCAACAATTAGGTGTATTTTCTCTTATATTTTTAAACAATAATGACTGACTGACTAAGCTTGGCTTTACGCCGCTTTTAGCAATATTCCAGCAACATCACGGCGGGGGACACCAGAAATGGGCTTCACGCAATGTGCCCATGTGGGGATTCGAACCCAGGTCTTCGGCGTGACGAGCCAACGCTTTAACCATTAGGCTACCCCACCGCCCCTAAACAATAATGAAAAATGTACCATGTTATGTTTACTGGTTCCTCTCACCACACCTCAATGTTAGTGACGTCATCAGTCAGCGTTTAATTATGGTACTTGCCCTGGATAATTGTGAATCAAAAATTATATACTAGTTTCCAAGCCTGAGTCAGTGATGTTGAAGATACCTGAGTAGAATTTTTAGATTTTTGTGAGGTGACCTTTTATGTTATCACTATTCAGGCTGGTAATGGTGCCCAAAAGACCAGTGGACTTTTTGACCACTAAGATACACTCCCCTCTCGTCCACCACCTAACCCACTTCATTACAAAAACATAGAGTTAAGTCCACATAAAGAACCCCCAATCCCAAGCGTAGTCTTAAATTTTGTCAAGATTTCAACATGTTCTCCACAAATTGTAAATTTCTGAGCATTGTGAAAATAATTTACAAATGAGGTTAAAATCGAGACCTGATGCTTATATGTTCACAAGATGTGTCATCATATTCAAGGTTGTATTAGCATCTGCAGGTTACCATTTAAATAGTAAATGTAAAATATTAATTCAGATAAGATTTAAGAAAACATTACAATTATTAATCCTGTTCCAATGTAAAAAGTGTAAATGAAAACAGCTAATATTCCCATCCTTTATTAGAACCACAGGAAGTAAAACAAAGTTGTCTCCCCTTCACTTCCCACTTCTCACACCCGGGCTAACTCATCCACAATTGGAGCTTTCTTGGTGATTTTTTCAGGCGAGTGAACTGTGATGCTTGATGCCGACATGGACCTTCCATCAGTTGATGATGAATCGAGGCTACCTGTGTCTGCGATACCCGTGTCGATGGAATCGGTGTCTCCGCTGGATGGCTTGTCTGAAGTACTTGACACCCTACAGACAGCTTCCTCCGTGTTTATCTTCTCCGAAGAACCGCTCTTGCCCCCACTCGACACAACCCCTGAGGGAACGGCACTAGAGTTCCTGTTGACTGTTCCTGAAATGGCATGTGCTGAAGTTGACCCGACGAACCATGCCCGATGCGGACAAAGACGAACTTTGCTTGATGCCCACCCCATAGATGTTGTGGAGCTTGCCTGCGGCTTGTAGCAGCAAGGGTTTTGATGTTGACGTTCTTGTATATGTGGGACTGTTATCGTCATCTGGAGGGTTTGATGAAAAAGAGCTCTGGTCCACTCCATGTTAGATTATAGATGTTGTGGAGGTAGTGCCACATCTCCTTGGACAACTGACCATGGTCTGGAGAGGACTGCTTCAGCTGATGTTGACCGTTCTTGTATACAACAAGCATGGGTTGCTGCGATCAATTCTAACCCGACTGTTTATCTATTGCATCTGGAGGGCCTGTCAAAAATTGAGTCCTGAAACAACGACAAACATGGGTTGCGATGTCAATTCTTACTCCATGTTAGATTACTAAAGATCTGTTTGTTTGTTGTTGTCTCCACTTTGACTCTCCCACTCCGGACGCCAGGCCATGCTGATGTAAAGCGATCTCAATCAGCAATATTTCCAACTGCTGTATATGGCAGCAGTATGTAAAGTCAGCATCTCAAGCTGGTTTTATGAATACCCCCACTCCAGACACATTTTTTGAGATGCAAGCAGGGGTGTATTTTCAGATGATTTGTAAGCGGGGATAATTGAGGAGTCTCACTAAATGATAAAACCAGACATTTGTGAATCCAGTGATCAACAATATTTCAGTTATATGGCGGCGGTCTGTAAATAAAGTCTGCACCAGATAATCCAGTGATCAACATCATGGGCATCGATCTATGCAGTTGGAATACGATGACATGTTTCAGCATAGAAATAAGTGTCCTTTTATACTCAGTGGCACCTAACCGATGTCTCAATGCTTCCCACACACCAGCACTGACTTTAAAGAATTCTGATGAAGGTAGAGCATGACTCATGATTTCAAGCTTTACACCATTTAACTCTGACATGTTTGAGTGAAGAATTATCAGAAACGGACAGTCAGAGCTGTAGCATTTCTGGTAAGAACAGAACTGTCAATACCAATTCATAATACCATAATTCAGTTAGTTCAAATACCTCATTGAGTCAATCTATTTTAGACCCTTAGGACATGTAGTCCATATTACTTATAATCATTTCTCAATTTGTAAATACAAAGCCAAAATTTTGTATCTACTACTATACGCCAATTCATGAGAGGAGACACCAGTGTAAGACCTAGTTAACTTGCATCACATAGTGACACAGAGATGTTTCTGTATGAAACTGTACCTGTATGAATGTCTCCATCTCGGTCTTCTGTCGGTACCGCAGCTGTTCCAGTTCTCGCTGGCATGTCTGGCAGGCATACAGATAGTTACACACAGGCCCTCCTCCAAACCTAAAACAGAAAATTAGGCAAGAATTATTTGGCCCTTGCAACCAACAGGTATTCTGTCACTACTGTAATACGGTTTGTGTATGGACTGCTACCCTGGTGTAATGGTTAGAGCGTCCACCCGGAGAGCGGAAGGTCACAGGTTCGATCCCAGGCCAAATCATAGCAAAAGATGTTAAAATATGGTACTTGTTGGTCCCTGTTGCACTCGGCAATAATGGGTATAACAAAGACTGGTCGGCTCATTATAACGTATCTGAGTGGGGTATTCATGTTTAACTGCGGTATGGTATCTCATAGGGGTGGGTATTGCAGAGAATTTTCATGTTGCGATATATTGCGATGCGGAAGCATCTGTTGCGATATGTATTGCAATATATTGCAAGGATTATTTTTTTAACAAAAACTACTTATAATCGAGTTGATGATTGATAATAAAGCAAAAACACAACAAAATCACTATGACTGATTAACCTTTTATAAAAACTTTTAATCATGACAAAATAAAAATGTAAGTAACATTTGGCACTAATGAAACAGGGAAAAGAACAATTCAAAAACAGAAATATCCGAAGATTTCCGACTGTTACAAAGTTTTCCGAATGCATGTCAAAATACCGATCAGCGTATCGCAATACGTATCGTTTTCATGTCTGAACTGGTAAATACCGGTAAACCAGTTATATTGCGCAGCCCTAGTATCTCATTGAGCAAGCACTATAAAGCCAGCTTAAGTCTGGGCTAGTACAAGCAGCCACCCATACACATGCATGCACGTCGTCATATGAGCGAAATGTTCTTAAGAACGACGTGAAACTCCATTTCACCTCCCATCACAGTTTGTGTATGCGAGTGAATTTGATTACTGAAGCTACTGATTGCCCTGTATAGTCTGTAAATAATCAAGTGGGGACCAAACAATCCAGTGGTCAATATCATGAGCATCACTTCAGCTGAGAAATTATTGTCTTACGATCCAAACCATTTGTTTGCTGCTTATGATCAGCATGCTCTGGTTAGGACCTATGTTCCTGTCTAGAACCCCAGGATTTGTAATATGGACTAGACAGTTATTCAAATCTACATTTAACAACCAAGACAACTAAAGGTAACAAATCTGCACAGCAAAGTAAGGTGAAACATACACAACAAGAAGACATGGTCATCAATGTTACATATGTTATATTTGGGATTGATATTTGACCACTTTCTACAGGGGTGGAAATAACTTTAAAATTACTAGTGTACTCCGGTACAGTGGCACATGTAAAATCACTTGCCCTGATCATTTTTCCACTATACTGTCCGGTTTCTTGTTGATTTTTTAAATAAACAACATTATTAACATTGGAAAGTCAACTGGACACCGGTACAGCGTAATATACAAATTTGCTTGCCCGACAGAAAAAAACACTGGACTTCGGACGTCAGGCAATGGGTTATTTCCACCCCTGTTCTAAATGGTACTGTGTAATTATGGTCATCGATTTCCCCTGCCACAGTGTTCTGTTCCTATTTGGTTCCTGTTTTTTAACTCCACCACGACATTCATGTCCTGAAAACACATACCACATTTGGTTTCCCTATCTATAACAGTTACTGAGAAAATCTGTTCCCATTGGGGATAAACTGCACTAAGTCAAGAAATGCATGACAAGGACCATAACTCTGTAAAGAATCTTAAACACGGTCAATCAAACTCCATCAAGGCATTCATGCTCTAAAAACACATACTAAATTTAGTTTCCCTATCTATAACGATGTTTGAGCAAATCTGTCCTTATCAACTCAGACGGACAGGATGAACGGACAGATGGAGCTCAAACCAATATCCCCTCCCACTTCATAGGGACACCAGAAATGGGATTCACACATTGTACCCATGTGGGAAATTGAACCCAGGTCTCTGGTGCGATGAGTGAATGCTTTAACCACTGGGCTACCCCACCACCCCTTGCAGCAAGTAAAGATCTTACCTGTTGTAGAGGAACTCCCACACAGCTTGGTTGAGGGGCTGGGCCAACTCCTCCACATGGTTGGTCTTCCCTGGAGGAACCCCTACACACAAACAACACAGCTTGTTATCAACTTCTTAAACTGTTCCACCATCAAAGTCACCTTCCCATAGTTTTCTGCACTAGCAGTATCACAATGTCAAGTCAACTTTGTCTGTCTGAGAGTATTTAACATTTTCTCTTTTTCTTCAGATACTGAACAGTAAACTAAGTTTATAATGAACACATTCACAAACTAACAACTATTTACGGCATATTTCAGTCAAAATGCATTTACTAAATTATAGTTGTAATGAGTGAGTGAGTGAGTGAGTATGGTTTTATGCCGCTTTCAACAATATTCCAGCAATATCACGACAGGGGACACCAGAAATGGACTTCACACATTGTACCCATGTGGGGATTCAGACCCGGGCGTGACGAGCGGACACTTTATCCACTAGGCTACCTCACCACCCCTGGTTGTAATGAACTAGATTTAGGGGCCCTTCGTGTTCAGTGACTGAGTTTAGTTTTATGCCGCACTCAGCAATATTCCAGCTATATGGTGGCGGTCTGTAAATAATCAAGTCTGGGCCAGACAATCCAGTGATCAACAGCATGAGCATCATTCTACACAATTGGGATACAATGATATGTGTCAACCAAGTCAGCGAGTCTGACCACCCGATCCCGTTAGTCGCCACTTATGACAAGCATGGGTTACTGAAGATCAATTCTGGCCCTGATCTTCACGGGTTGGAAACCCTCTGTAAAATACACAAGCAATACCTCCATGCCGACAGAGGAAGTCACGGTTTGTGATTGGGCCTGGCTCGGCAAACGTGTTGAATTTGTTGATCCACTGACGTGACACAAAGAACTGCATGAGACTTGGCTGAAACACACAACATCGTTGTATTAGCATTATTCAATGACAATGACAAAGCTTCATTCACAATACAACATTGGATATGCCCTGCTGGTGAAGAGCCGTATTCTCCATCAAAGGAAGGGTGAGTGAGCGAGTTGGATTTTACGCCGCTTTTAGCAATATTCCAGCAATATCACAGCAGGGACACCAGAAATGGGCTTCACACATTGTACCCATGTGGGGAACCGAACCCAGGTCTTCGGCGTAACAAGCAAATGCTTTAACCATTGGGCTACCCCACTGCCCCTCAAAGGAAGTGACTGACATCTTTAGAGGTGTTTCTTTGCCATGTTGAAATGTCTTATCGAGAAATTTTCCCGAATTTTCAAATGTTCATTCAAAAATGTCTAAAACCAACAGCTACCTTCTTCAACACTGATCACACAGGCTGTAAGAGGCAAATAAAAACAGAAAGGGAATCAACTTAATCTAGACCAAAGTGAAATGCCACTTGTCATGCTTGGACTACCTGACTAATATTAATTTCAAACCCAGTCTACAATAACATAACAGACAAGCCTGTGTTTACTGCATAAATATTGTATGCTCTATGTCCATATAAGGCAGTTGGTTGTAATTACCTCTTTTGCCTCCATCAGCTCCATGGCTTCCTGCCTCAGACTGTGCATCTTGTCATTCTGTTTCCTGCAAATACAAGGCCACTAATGATTAGCAGGTGTCACTTTCTACTTCCAAAATCAAATATCTGCATTTGGTTACTTACATATAGTACTCCAGGGCTACAGATAAGGGGCGTACAGGCGTAATGTACGCCTCAAAATCAATTAAGTACGACATAATATAAGATTTCAAGCTTATCGTGTACGCACATAAATACCTTTGTACGTCTAACATTTAATTTCCGTGCGTATCGTGCAAATGGAAATCTATTTCGGATAAATACTTGTCAAGTGTCTTTTGCGAAACACGATTTTACACATGAGGAAACCCCGACAGTAGGAATCCCTTGCGTTGCCATGCAACGATATGCGTCACTATTTTTTCGATTGGTTAAAAACTACACTGTTCCTATTTATATCCAGACGGACCTGACATTTCGCGCATCACACGGTCGCCAGTTATTTCTCACACGTCTTCAAATACAAATACATGGTTGGAAATAGTGATCGATGAATCGTCCAGACAAACCACATCACCAACTCGCTCACACAAAGACATGTCAGTACTCCTTCAAAATTCTCAGTACACCTCTACTTGCAATATGATGTGTAAGTACACTCGCACCCCAAAAAGTTATCTGGAGCCCTGGTACTCTCATGGTGTTAAATAACACCCAATTCTTTCATATTACAATAGTTAACTCAACACAGTTTACCATATAACAGTAGAAAAGCATGCAGGCCTCACAGTTGACGACATACCTGTAGAAGAGCACGTAAGCCTCACAGTTGACCACCTGTTGAACGTCCACCTCGGTCACGTACTGGTCATCAAACTCATACCACTGCTCATTGACGTAGTTCAGGCAGTAGGCAGTGTAGTGACCACCTGTGTCCGACAACATACATCAGTGATAGGAGGCATGAGGTATGATTCTGATGCTACCATTTTCACAATACTAAAAGTCCTGTATTCTTTGAAATTTGATAATAGGGGCATTTTAAAACTACCCGTGTTCCATTTGTTCTCAGCGGTTGAATGGTCAGGAACAATTTACAGTCAAATCCCAATGAGTCGAATGCCAGCGTCTTGAATATTATGCATAACTCGAAGGTACCTGTCGGTCCCAACCATTCCCTGTTATAGTTGATATCATTTGATTTCCGGTTACACAAATTCGTCTCATAAATACACACGATGACTCGAGAAGGAAATTTGGTCCCATGAGATTCAAACAACAGCAATCTTGTATACATAAGCCGAAGTCAGTCAATGAGAAGTTGATTGATGTAGCAAACTGATCCAATTAACAAACCAGCGCGGCTCACACCTTTCCGTGTGATAGTGATAGGGAAATCGGCTAAGCAGCGTTGTTTTAAGAACGTCAAATCTCTGCTGACTTCATACTGTCACAACAAGTCTGCCTGGATGACATCTGGTTTATTTGTGAATAGGGTAAAACTGTTCAATATTCGATCATCTTTTTTTTCTACCCTCATAGACATACCTATGTCTCGAATACATCGATAAGTCAAATTTATTACTTGGTCCCCAGCGATTCGACTCATCAGGATTTGACTGTACTTAGGGAGTACTTTACACAGCAACTATGTAAGTCATGACAAAAAAAATATTCATGCACCATTAAGACACAGTGACAGCCCTGTCATGCCTACCTCAAGATTTTCCAACATGGCTGTTATTGTGGCCATATTAAATGACAGTCAAAATAGAATATGAACCTTTTAAATAAGTTCATGGGATGAACATATATTGCGCATCAACAATACGTCAAGCAGCTTCAGAGGAAACAAACATGTCCAGCTCACATAATAATGTCTTTGAAACATTTGCCTGCAGAAGGTACTGATTGATCAACTAAAGTTAAAGATATCTACTGCTTTACACTCTCAATATTTTTAATCAAGTTCCGATAACAGGCTACTGACCTCCAGCTGTTCCATGATGACAGATGACGGCCACCAGGTTGTAGCTGGTCACTTCAGACTTGCAATCTGTACAATAAACAGCCATTGTTAAACATGCAATATGTAGTACCCTATAGATGAGGTTGTAGCTGGTCACCTCAGACTTGCAATATTCTGTACAATAAACAGCAACATTGTTATACATGCAATTTCCCTATGTAGTAAACCCTAAATAAAGCAAGTCAGATGAGGGAGACAAGCTTACTAGACTGAAAAGAAGACACCAAGACTCATGAATTGTACTAATGGTCACAGTCACATGATGAGAGTGAATAAATCTAAAAACATCCACTGTCAGGGTCTAAGAGCAACATTCTGGCCTGACTGACTAATTCCTGTCTCAGGGTTGTGGGGTAGCCTGGTGGTTAAAGCGTTCGCTCACCATGCTGAAGACCCGGGTTCAATTCCCCACATGGGTACAATGTGTGAAGCCCATTTCTGGTGTCCCCTGCCGTGATATTGCTGAAATATTGCTAAAAGCAGCGTAAAACCCAACTCACTCACTGTCTGATAATTTTCTGACAGCAGTTTCTGGCTCCAGATGGACACATATATAGCGCTGTGTACAACTCAAAAGAAGTTAAGATCCAGATGATTTGTATCTATTACCTAAGTTAATCTGTCCTTATCCTTATCTGAGTGGTATATGCCTCTATGAGCAGTGTTCGAAAAAGCCACTGGCCCACTAGCCCGTGACTAGTAAAAATCTAGTCGGGCCATAAAATCGCTACAGTCACTGGCCCGACTGGCTAATGAATTTTCATGGGGTCATTTTATAAATATAACACTCTCTCCGACTTGTTAAGCTATAACACACTATTAGATCATGCAATATTATGGCCTGATAAAAATGCTAATCATATTGGTAGCTTAATGATGAAACCCGTGTTGACTTTCAAATTTCGGACTAGTGAATTATTTTCTGGACTAGTAACTTTCAGGCATAGCTAGCCCAAATGGCTAACAAAATTTAGCTAAACCATTTTCCACACTGTCTATGAGGGACTCACCTTTGTGGAGGTAGGGCTTCATGTCGAGGCCATCCAACGGAAAAGTGACATACGTAGAGATCTTAGAGGAGTAGAATTCATGGCGGAAACGCTTCAAGTGAATACACACCACCTATAACACAGAGATATTCATAATACATGGTTTACCAATACCTGTGCAATTTGATGCCAAGATTATTATTGTAACAAACAAACTAGAGAGTTTCCATGAAAGTGACAAGTTTGTATTCAACTTCTTTGATTGGCATTCTAGAAGTTGGGTAGATGAAGGATGAGGACTATTTTTATGGATATACAACTTCTTTATTCTGTATAGGCGACGTTTCGACATAGATTCTAATGTGGTTTCAAGCAAGTCACATAGATTCTAATGTCGTCATGTCTTGACAGAATCTATGTCAAGCAAGTGATGCCTCATCCTTCAATTTTGTGTTTAAGCAGTGCCATCTATAAACAACAGTGCATAATCTTTGTGAATAATCTGAGTACTGGTGTCACTATGAATTTGAGTAGATCAATTAATAGGACAGAGTACACTTCACATGCCTGTCATCAACTCTCACACATTTTACCTGAATGTCACGCACTCAGACATTACCTCTCTAAACTCATGCATTATTGAAAAATGTTATAAACCTGCACCAAATGACATAAAAATCATGTTTAAACAAGTGTTTGCCACTGATATGGCAATGTCCCCCCCCTGCTAAAGAATGGAATATCTATATTTACTACTTTTTAATTTTTGGTCACATACAAGATGCCTGAAATGACTGGTGTCTGCATAATCACCCGATGTAGGGTGTCAACATACTTGAAAACATTGGGTGCAATGTTTTATGACATATCGCCTTTAAAAAGTGGTCAAAGTATCGTGGTGATCTTGAAGATAAGGTCAAGGTCACCCAAATAAACTGGTGTCTGTGTAATACCCCAATGTAAACTGTCACCAAATTTGAAGACATTGGGTACAACAGTCCATGAGATATCGCGTTAACAAGAGTTTGAAAAGTGGTCAGTGTCGTGGTGACCTTGAAAATAAGGTCAAGGTCACCCAAATCGACTGGTGTCTGCGTAATCCCCCAATGTAGGCTGTCACCAAATTTGAAGAAACTTGGTACAACATTTCATGAGATATCACGTTAACAAGAGTTAAACTGACTGACTGAGTTTAGTTTTACGCCGCTTTTAGCAATATTCCAGCAATATCACGGCGGGGGACACCAGAAATGGGCTTAACACATTGTGCCCATGTGGGGAATCGAACCCGGGTCTTCGGCGTGACGAGCCAACGCTTTAACCACTAGGCTACCCCACCGCCCCAACAAGAGTTAAAAGCGTGCAAAGTGTCATGGTGACCTTGAAAAACTGGTCAAGGTCACCAAAATAGACTGGTGTCTGCGTAATCCCCCAATGTAAACTGTCACCAAATTTCAAGACATTGGGTACAACAGTCCATGAAATATCGCGTTAACAAGAGTTAAAAGCGTTCAAAGTGTCATGGTGACCTTGAAGATAAGGTCATGGTCACCCAAATCGACTGATGTCTGCGTAATCCCCCAATGTAGGCTGTCACCAAATTTGAAGACATTGGGTACAACAGTTCATGAGATATCGCGTTAACAAGAATCGGGACGGTCGGACGCCGCTGAATACATAGTCCCCCATTCTGCGTTTCGGTGGGGGACAATAACCTAAAATGAGAGAGAGAGAGAGAGAGAGAGAGAGAGAGGGAGAGAGAGAGAGAGAGAGAGAGAGAGACAGAGAGAGAGAGAGAGGGAGAGGACTCATCAGAACTCTCAGGTGTGGACAGCTATGTCTTCATTATTTCCAGTATCTAAGACAGTATTAAGTGCAATTTTTTCTACTTCACCAAATTCCTTACATGTTTTAAAGGATGTACAGTGAGTAATAAAGATCATAGTTACCTCTGGTAATTCTAATACTTTGGAATACTTCAAACCATTCCTCAATCTGAAAACAAAGAAATATATGACAATCATACTTGGTTTATTCCATGTCAAGTGGTCCTGCAGGAACAGCTACATTTCCAAAGATACCTGGTTGCAAAGGGGTTGTTGTATCATGATTTTACATGATGTGCAAATGCACGTCCAGCATGCACAAACTTAGTTTGTTTTTGTTTGTTTTTTGTTTAACTCCACATTATTCCAGCTATATGGCGGTGGTCTGTAAATAATCAAGACTGGACCACACAATCCAGTGATTGACATCATCAGTATCGATCTACGCATTGGGATATGATGACTAACATCAACCAAATCAGCGAGCCTAACCACCCGATCCCGTTAGTCGCCTCTTACGACAAGCATGGGTTACTGAAGATCAATTCTAACCCGGATCTTCACTGATCTCAATTGAGCAATGGTCCACAGTCACTCCAATGTTTCCGCCTCACAACCACACCAACATGTTAGTAGACCCTGAAGACAGAGGGCACTTCAGGAAGTAATGTAAAGCCTCAATATTGAGGGTCTAACAGAGTACACCTACTTCTTGCACTTCTCACAGCTGTACATATTGTCCCCCTTGAGCTCATCAGCTGAAAAGAAGGCTGCCAAACAGTCCTGGAGAGATATGGTCGGACCCACGAACCAGCTGAAACACAGTAGCAGAGTATTTTCAAGTTTACATTACATTTAACCTATCTTATATCTTATAACTGGCTTTACCAGAGACCACATATGCGACAGATGGGTTGCATTTGGGACAGGTATTTTAAAATTCTGCAAACAGATGTGTTTGTGAGCAGTGTTTCCACTTTTTGATCGAAAAATGACTTTAGGAGATGTCTCATAAGTTTCTGAGACTGATGAGTTTGTGAGCAGTGGCTCACATGTTGTTAGAAAGATGAGACAAAAATTTAAATTCTTAGGACAAGTAAAGGCCTATGTCACCACATTATCCCAGTAATAAATTGTGTTTATCCATAATTTTCTGAAAGGGCCTGAGGCATGCAAATTGAGAAAAGAGTTCTGTTTGCTCGTAAACCAGAATCTGTTCAACATGTTAAGCAGGGTTTAACCTCGACTCCCAAACACTGGGGTCACAGGAACCCAAAATGTTTATATCAAAGGGTCCTAGCATGCAATATGAAGGTCCTGTGAAGTAACGATATATAGAGAACTGTATGTTTGGATAATTTCTTTACAGCCTGGAATGAATCATTGATCATATTGCATTGATGGATAAAATAATGCACATGACTGCTATGAAAGAAACAACCGAACACTTAGAGAAGTCAGAGATGTGTAGTGGGTTTATGTGCGTCTCTATGGACACAGTGAATTTTGTACTGCATCCATTCTCTACATCCGTGCGTACTTGACTGATATTTGCGCACCATGTAAAACCCTGTTAATTTCATCTATTTCTAAACTTTAACCTTACATTCAGTATCATGGACAATTAAGCATTAAAGCCTTTCACATTTGTTGTAAAACTGGTCAGTAGAGACCAGCAACAGATTCATCAGTGGTCAATCAGAGAGCATTATTTGGGATGGGCATTTTTTGTTCTATAATGGTTCAGTAACAGAAAGAATTTAGGTGGTGAAATCTGTATTAATGAGAGCAACTCTTTACCTCTTCATCCAATTAAACATCATTGAGATCCAGCCCTGGTTGACCTCTCCACATGCCCCGCCCTTGACGACCCCTGACCCTGGCCCCACAGCCTGGCTAGAATGCAAGACATGCAGGTGATCCTTGCTTGGAATCGGCAGACTTAAGTCTTGGAATGTCTCCTTGGTTGTAGACACCTATTGAACAGGGAGAGGAAAATTGACAGGGAGGTAACTCCACCATCAAAAAGGAGAAGGGAGGTAACTGTACCACTAGTTTGACTGGCTGATTTATTGATGTTTAATGCAGCACTTAGCAATATTCCAGCTATTGACAATGGAATCTGGACCAGACAATCCAGTGACTGACATCATGAGCATTGATCTGCACAATCTGGATATGATGACGTGCATCAACCAAGTCAGCAAGCCTCACTCGATCTAGCTAGTCCTCTCTTACAACAAGCATAGGTTGCTGCAGACCAATTCTAACCTGGATTCTTCACAACTCGTACCACCAAAACACAAAAGACTTGTGTTGAAATTGTTGAAGCTACATACAAGAGTGGTGAAAAACATTTGACTTGGCTGCTCACCAAAGAGTACACTTGACACATAAACAGTTAAAACTACTCTTCCTAGAAATATTTTTAATATTTTTATTATGGCAACAAAGATGCGGTTAAAGATATCGATTGATGCCTACCCGCTCACACATGAGGCACATGACAGAGCTGAGAATCTTGCCATCAAATATGTCGGAGATAACGCTACGATGGAGAACATTCTTCTTTGAAACTGAAACAAAAAAACAGCTTAAACTACAAACTTCTGAATATCACAAATAACATGTTTTGAACCAAAATTGAATGATACCTGTGTCATATTCTTACCAAAAGATATCAGGGATTATTATCAGTGATTAGGACAGGTGTAACATGTGTTAATAGTTATATAATGTCAGCCTGCTGAGTCACTTTTATTCGACGTATATGTTTACACACATTCATCTTTATGCCTCATGAGAACGATATATTTTTCGATGATGTACATGATGTAACCATGGAAACCATACACCTTAATTGGTGCAACAGTATGTACAAATAATTTAGTATCATGAATGAATGAAAAACAACCCTTGTGAGGAAGGAAACAAACAAACAAGAAGTATGTACCTTTGAAAGAACGTATGATTGAACAAATGTTTGAACGAACACGATTCAACAAACGTATGAATGTACATGAACGAACGAACGAACGAACGAACGAACGAACGAACGAACGAACGAACGAACGAACGAACGAACGAACAAACAAACAAACATGTACCTACCTCTCCCACTATTCAGTGACTTTGTACTGGTTGATTTGTGCAGTGCTTGCTGTATCGGTGCCGATGTCTCTGTTGCTGTTGACTGCGATGTTATCGTCGTGCTCGGTAAAGACAGCTTCGACCTCTGACTTACAGCAGATGACCCCAAATCCGACACTGCATCCACAAACTCTGTTGAATCACTTTTCCTCAAATGATCACCAGATGGTCCATGTTTAACACTGACATGATCCAGACTCTGTTTCGACAACAAGTTAGCCGTCTCCTTCATTTCCTTTGTGTTAGCCACGTGATCGTCCACATTATCGTAACAACCTGACTTCACAGTCGATCTTCGTTCTCTCGACCGAGGGTTGAGTTTCGTCTGTTCGTTAACGTCACTGTTCTCATCACTGGAGAAACTATGCTCCACGGAACTCTTTTCACTACTCAGGCCTGAGTCACATGTCTCGTATTCACATTCCGATTGGCTACTGCTGGAATCAATGGAATTCTGTCGATCATGCGAGTTAAGATCCACCTGGCTTACGATGACTTCTTTTGCGAGGTCATCACTGTCGGAGTCCTCAATGATTGGCTGTTTCAGCTCTTCATGGAGTTGATCCATGTAGCAGCGTAGGAATTCTTGAGTATCCTGAAATAATAAAATATGTTGAATATTTAATTCAGGCCATTACTTTTATTTCTGGCTGCAGATAGGGTTTTTTTACAGAAATGTTCAGACCCTTCAGAGTTTTCTCTGCTCTTTAAGTGAGTTTTATCTTTGTCAAACATGCGTTGTTGTTCTTGCAATTGAACATACTGTACATGCAGGTGGTACATTTCTCAGATTAGATTAGTTAGAGAGGAACTCACTAGGAAGCACACTATGTCCTTAAAAACACAAACTCCTTCTGTGATACTGTACAGTTAGATTAGTATACTGAAGAAATCTCTTAATCATATCAAAGGATCCTGCCGTGCTAAGGGACACAACTCTGCAGAACTTAGTGAGGTGAAATTGGATTTAACGTCGTGCTTGAGAATATTTCGCTCATATGACGACGTGTGTGCGTGTGTATGTGTATGTGCGGCTGCTTGTACTAGCCCAGACTTAAGCTGGTTTTATAGTGCTAGCCCACTGAGATACCATGCCGCAGTGAAGCATGAATACCTCACTCAGACACGTTATACTGACTCCGAGCCGACCAGTCCTTGTTGTACCCATTAATGCCGAGCGCCAGACAGGGACCAACAAGCACCATATTTTAACGTCTTTTGGTATGACGCGGTCGGGGGTCGAACCCGCGACCTTCCGCTCTCCGGGCGGATGCTCTAACCACTACACTACGGAGGCGATCTGCAGAACTTAGTACCCCTCCCAGCAGATACAATGGCCAGAAGACACTCACCTGTTGTGTGTAGCCCCTGAACATAGGATGAACATGTTTCATCCCACTGACTACACTACTGGGGACTACATAGCCCTGTCTGAAAGTAGAAACAAGCATTGTCACTAAGGTGACATAATCCCCCACAGCAAACTATCAAATCAAACTTAAAAAAGTAATGAAAGTTTAAGATGAAGTTAAATGTCAACAAAAACATGACCAGTCAACCTTTCCTCATATCTTGCTCTTTAGTCGTTCAAACACACAAATATTTTCAAGACTGACTTTGACCTTGACATGAATGTCATAGAGTATGAAATATGCAAAAATGGTACTAAAGAAATTGCTTATTGAAAAACATTCACGGGAAGTCTTGAAAGTCTATGAAGAAATTCCAGTGAATTCAGGTTAACATGCTGAAATCTTCAAAGTGTCGCAATGACCTTGAAAATTATGTGAAGGCTACCAAACCTGACTTGGCCCTGCACCTTCAATAGATGGTGCTCGGTGTCAAATATAATTAAAAAAAGTGAATGGTTTTTGCGATATCTTGCTGACTATCTTAACATGCAAGTTAACATACTGAAATCTTCAAAGTGTCGCTGTGACCTTGAAAATTAAGTGAAGGTCACCAAAATCGACTGGGCCCTGTGCCTTCCCTGAATGAAGCTTGGCGTGAAATATGAAGAAAATCCAGTAAATGGTTCTTAGGTATCTCGCTGACAGGCATAACATGCAGGTTAAAATGCTGAAATCACCATCACCTTGAAAACTATGTGAATGTCACAAAAATCGACTGGGCCCTGCGCCTTCCCCAGATAAAGCTTGATGTTGAATATGAGGAAAATGTAGTGAACTGTTCTTGAGATATCTCGCTGACAAGAGTAAAACGTTAAAGTCCCCTTGTGACCTTGAAATGAAGGTCAAGGTCACCAAACCTTACTGGGACCTTTCTTATACTGTGATGAACCTAGATACCAAATATGAAAAGAATCTAGTCAACAGTTCTTAAGAAATTCCAATTCGTACGGACGGACGGACGGACAGAGTCGAATACTATATCGCTCGTTTCGTACTAAACGCGTGGCTGGGGATAACAAGCAGCCTAAGCATATGTTGAACATGGGTGGTGGGCTGACCTAGTGATCAATCTCATAAAAAACAGATATTTCACTTGAACATGACACCCGAGGACATCCCATGGGAGGAGTTGCAAGTTTTAGTCTCTTACCAGCGTTGACCATAGGTTCTCATGTCTTTGCGAGGAATAAAGATTAATAAAAACCATGTGAGATGACCCATGGCTCGAAATGCTTCACAGTACAATAAATCATGACAAGGCCGGACACTTCTGTGTACACCACCTGCCTGCTTTGCTGATCGCTATGCTACCATCGCATGCAATTGATCAAAACTTAATGCAAACACAATCGCGGATGATTGGCCTATCCATCACCACTCATGACACCTACAAATTCTTTATTGTTACTTTTGCAAGTCGACTGAAAGCCGATTTTGACCCTCAACTACACGTTCTAGTCACAAATGGATGACGATATGTCAGCACAAAACGGGGGCGTGGTTGAAGCAAGCCCTCCGATTGGCCTGTGGCATTGAGGTGTCTAAATTCTTAGTAGGAGAGTTAAGAATTAGTCCCTTCAGTTACTTGAACCTGGCAACACTTGTGTTGTGCAGGAGCTAAATTTATACAAACCTGTAGAGGTTATGAATTCTTTGAAGAAGTCCTCCTTGGGGTACATATAAGCATTTAAATGTCCATTTTAAATCCCACGACAGTTGTAACTATATTTTTCAATAGAATATTTACAAAACAAAAAACTCGTTTTGTCTTGTGAGACCACCCTTACAGGGCCCCACCGGACCCCCTACAGCCAAGAGCAGGTAACTCATTTGGTTCAAATGCAGCCTGTAAACATGGAAGTATCATACTTAATATGTGCAAACTGTAAGAGTACTATACTAGACCAGAGTAAATTTGACACTCACCTCTTCTTGTGCCAGAGTTCCGATACAAGTCTGTGATAGCCACGAGACAGCATGGGGCTCCTCTCTGGCCGGACAAATCCCGGACAGTCCAGGAAATAGCGTGTCAGGGGTGGACTGCAAGTTGAGATAGGAAATGTTGAAAGAGTACATTCTACCCCACTAGACTCAACTATGCATCAATTGTTGTTTAATGCCACACTCAGCAATATTCCAGCTATATGATGGCAGTCTGTAAGTAATCAAATCTGTACCAGACAATCCAGTGATTGACATCATGAGCATTGACCCAATTGGCATATGAGGAAATGGAGTCATACTGGTCGCCTCTTATGACAAGGACGGGATGCTGAATCAAGTTAAATCATTTTTTTAAATTTAAGACCTGTAAAGAAACTTGTGAATTACAAAATCAAAAGACACCAACAAATATCTTGGGGTACCTACCATTAAAAAACAGGGTTAAGGGGCAGACTTAACCAAACAGACGGTGCAAACAAGAAACTCGAAACAATGCAATGATGGCATAACTTGTGGACAAAATGGTGGAACTAGTGTAACAGTGTGCTCATTTTGGTAAAGACTGACATGCATAGGCGGATGGGGGTGGCTTGTCCTTAAAATTTATTAAATGACCATTGAAAAGCTGTATCTGCCCCTGGTCAATTATGCTCCTTGTTTGGTCACAAACAGTAGGAACCACCTAGAAAGGCACATGGTTTTAAGGGGCCATGGCAAAGTGAGATGAAAATGTTTACCTACAAATACACATCAGAAGTTGACCAGGGGTCATGTCACAAAAGTGACCTTTGACATTACAAAACATGTGGATTCTTAAAACATTGTCATCCAAATAAGAAACAAGGTATAATAAACATGAGTCAGGATAAGGAAAATGAAATTTTTAGAGTAAAATTAATATTTTTATACTTATCCTGACTCATGTTTATTTGCTTGTCTTCTTCTTCTGGCGAACCTAGTGGAACACTTGTATCTCCCAATTGAAGTTCCCTTCAATGAAAAATCACTCATTAGTACTGACCACGAGTTACCTCCCTTCCACAAGCGCGGGAACGAGGGCGCCACCTGAACCCATGTGCCTCACTCTCTCCTCATATACTGAGCCCAACACCTGAATTTCCAGGGAAATCCAAAGTGTTAAGTGGGGAGGGACGGAGGAAGTTTACCTCATGAGTCAGGATAAGTATAAAAATATTAATTTTACTCTAAAAAAATTTCATATTTTTCCTTATCCTGACTCATGTTTATTTGCTTGTAGAATCCCACGGAATAGGAGGTGGGATTATATATACTTTGGATTTTACTAATTAGTGATTTGAACTGAGATAATTGTAATAACCCTAAGGGAACTTCATGAAGGCACTGAACTGAATTCCTGTTGTTAACTTATCAGTTGCCATATAAGGGTTATTACAATTTACTGAATATAATAAAAAGTATATAGAACATTAATTAAGCTAAAGCTATTAATGTGATAGTATAAACTGTTGATAGTTTATAATGAATACTTTTATAAGAACCAAAGTAGTAAGCTTACAATATGCATATATATAAGCTTATAACAGAATTGTGCTTAAGGTATAAAGATACTTTAAGCTGTATAATAGTAACCAACTACTGAGAGTTTGTTAACTAATACATGTTATGAAATGAACATATGACTGAGCTTCAAGGATTGAAACTTAAGCTGAACATATATATAATAGTAGAACTCCTAAGAGTTGTAGGCATATATATAGTATGATTATAGAACTGTGCTTAAGATATAATTAACTTAAGCAACCTTAAATAGCCAAAACAACTCCGTAGAGTTTGTTAGCTATTACATTTATAATGTAACCATAATGCTTAAGATATGATGAAACTTAAGCTAAGTATATGATAGTAAAAACTCTTTAGAGTTTGTTAGCTAATATACTTTATATGATATAAACACAGTACTGAGCTTTAAGATATGAATAAACTTAAGCTACATATATAATAGCAAAACTCTGTAGAGTTTGTTAGCTAATACATGTTATAATGTAACCATAATGCTTAAGATATGATGAAACTGAAGCTAAGTATATGATAGCAAAAAACTCTTTAGAGTTTGTTAGCTAATATACTTATATGATATAAACACAGTACTGAGCTTTAAGATATGAATAAACTTAAGCTACATATATAATAGCAAAACCTCGTGAGAGTTTGTTAGCTAATACATGTTATAATGTAACCATAATGCTTAAGATATGATGAAACTGAAGCTAAGTATATGATAGCCAAAAACTCTTTAGAGTTTGTTAGCTTATATACTTATATGATATAAACATAGTAATGAGCTTAAGATATGAATAAACTTAAGCTCCATATATAATAGCAAAAAACTCCGTAGAGTTTGTTAGCTAATATATTTATAATGTAACCATAGTACTGAGCTTAAGATATGATTAACTTAAGCTAAATATATATAGCATGTAGCTATTTAGTACTGTTATAAGATAAGTAAAATTCTGTAAGATGGACTTATCTTCTCCGAGGAACTGTCAACTGTTGTGCGAGGACCATGGGACCGAATAGGTGGATACCTGAGACGTCCTCGATGGTGATATCTCTCAGATAGTGGTTGGCAAACACCATATCGGATCTCCCGAAATAACCCTCCATTATACCCAAGGCATTTGTGTAGAGCAATTGTAGATGTTAGCGTTCTAATATTATGAGGATTAGAAGCTCATGGAGGGTATAGTCCTACAGTCTTGTAGGCACGTAGTATGACAGTTCTGATCCAAAAGGAGATATAGTAGTACGTGAGACTTCCGTCTGCGTAGCTTGATAGAGGAAATAAATCTCTTGCATTTTCCCTCCTGTTTGGCCTCGGTGGAGATATATTTTCAGTGCTGTTACTGGCCATCGGATAGATTCATCGTATCATGGGGTTCAAGTATATCATCAAAGTTGTTCATAAACCTCACTTGTGAGGTGTTGGAGCACTTTATTCAGATCCCAAGTTGGAGCTGAACTTCCGCTTTAATCCTCCAATCGAAAGCTCTGAGGTAGCAGGCAGTAACTGGGTTAGGTTAACTTGACGCCCGTTCTCAGTTATGATAGAGCTATTGCTGCAAGATAGGTGGACAAGCTGAGCCTTATAAAATCTTAGTCTGACGTAGATAAGATAAGTAGTCCGCCACTTGAGGATGAGTAGCATATCTAGCTGTAAATCCTTCCTTTGCAGCATAATTGACAAAACTGTGCCATTTGTCATCGTATAAGTTGCCAGTTGAGTTATGCAGGGCAAGTTAGACTGCTTTGCCGCCTGGCTGAATAAGTTGTTATTCAGACACACTTTGATACAATCCATAATGCGAAGTTGGAATATATCTGGCTTTCCGTATGCGCTTGTTTGGTGTGCGGATGTATTAACAGATTCGAAAGCACTCTGTAAGATGTAGTATTGGTTGTCCGATTTCTTGAATAAGAGTTGGAAACCATTTCCTCGCTGGTCAGTAGGTCGTGACCAAAATCAGATGGAGGCTCTGCTATAGACTGATTTAGAGTAAACTTGTGAGATTAACGCTGGTGGCGGAAAAGCCGCACGCTGAGACTTTCCCACGATATGCTTAGTGCGCCTGTTGCCAATGCTAGTGGGTCTGGAACTGGCGATACCTAATGTTGTCAGTTGTTTGTTGAATCGAATGGTAAATAGGTCTATTAGTGTAGTTCCTATTTCCTTGATAATTTGAGTGAATATCTCTGTATGGAGCATTCATTCTGTCGGGCGATGGTATGCGCGGGTCGAGAGAAGCCGCCTGCTATCACATTCTTTGCTCCTGGAATGTGATATGCTCTGACATGTATGTTGAGATTGTTGATTAAATCGAACAACTGAAACCAGAGTCGATATGTTCGGGACCTGGTTGAGCTTTAGTTTGTTCACATAAAACGCCACCGTCGAATTGACTGTGTGAATCATCCACTGGGTATACTGTAGTAAGTTGCTCCAGTGTATTAAGGCGCTTATTACTGCTTGCATCTCTAGCAGATTTATGTGTATTTGCTCTCTTGATTGCTCATAGCCCTGATGCCGCCCTGTTGGCAAGATGGGCTCCCCTAACCTTATAGTGACACATCTACGAGAGAAGTGTTATCGATTCCAGCTCTATTAACGGAGACGCCTATTCAAACATTCGATCTCTTGGTGCATCATAGTAGATGATGTTTGACCTGAACCGATGAATTGAACGGTAGAGATTCATCTAGATGCTAATTGCTGATGACTTGTAACGGATGTAATTGTAGTCTGCCTCTGTCTGTCATGTCTTGAGCTGAGCTGAAGTGCGCGAACCCCAACAGACTCTGTCACTGTCGTGAGTGGTAGCGGAGATAGTAAGGCTTGTGGAAATGACTGTTGATCTTGATCCATGGTCCTCCGTACAATTATACGATTCTGCTACCGCTACAAATCAAAAATAGCAGATCTTGCGACGGGTTCAAGGTCAACTTAAGTAGGTTTACTAACCATCCAGTTGTGTTAGTAGCTTGATGATGAATTCAACTGTAGTCTGAGATGCTATGGATTTGGATCCATTTGTATCCCCGTCGTCGAGGTAAATTCGCCGCGGCGCTTGACGATGTAGATGCATAACCAGGGGTGACTGCCATCGCTGAACTTTTATGTAAAAATCGCCTGACTGCCGCGTGGTTCCTCGCCCTTACTTGACAGGGGAGGTCTCTAACTTCAAGAAGGCAGCCCAATCATGAGGGTTTAGATTAGCTGGACTGTAAGGAGGCTTGCTAGTTCACTGATATATTGTTGTCACTTGCAACCTAAGTGTTGAACTGTGAACTATGATCGACTTCTGCTTAGGGCGCTGTCCATCTCGGTCCAATCAGAACAAGGCATTTTGATTCTGTAGAGTACCCGAAGGCGTGACGCCACCGTGTATCAGGAAAGGAACCTTGTATAATATAGTGCCGTCGCTGATATTAGAACAATCGCCGGTCTTCACCGTAACTTTCTGAAGTTACCCGAAAGTGACCACGGTGTTTCGAGGGTTGATGGTAAACGCCAATAAACCTCCGGCGCCAATACCTCGCCTGTAATATTAATGCTGGGTAGGTTATTTTCCAGGCTGTCGCGGAAAGTAACTTCAGTCTTGAAGATAATCTCGACTTCCTTATATAAGGTTCAATAACCTTGCAAGTTGTCAGCTTGTAGACTGTTAAAGCTGAACTTGTTGTACATATTACTTGAGGAAATCGCTGACGATTATGAGTTTTACTCGCTGTAACAAGACTGCTGTTCAATTTCGCTTTGAATTGTCTGCAGATCTGCGTAATGGTCACGCATGTAGATAATCGTGATCGTAGTAGGTAGTCGGCTTGAAGATCCCTAATTAGGGCTCTTCAATTAATACAGCGACGCCAGTGTGTTGAAAATAGCCTGTGCAATTGTCTTCGCAGAGGCTTGTAGACGCATATGGCTTACAGTTGATAAACAACTCATGTGATGTCTTGAACGGACTGACGAAAGTGGCTATATATGACGAAAGTGGCTAGTATATGGAGACCTTTGAGGAGACTTCCTCGGCTAACTGGATTTCGGCAAGATCCTCGGCAACGCTTCTAGATCTTCTGGGTGAAGTAAACTTGAGCCACTTAGCCTTCGCGACCTTCTTCGAAGTATCGAAGTCAGAGTCCGATCAATATATGAGCTTGCTTCGCGAATCCACCTCTGTGTTCTACAGGGTGTGGGCTCGCTAAGCTTCCTTCGATCTTAAATGATACCATCGCCTTCCTCTGACATATGGTCGTGATGTCGGAGCCTCGATCTGTAAGAAGATCTATGTGAGGACTGAGGAGAACGGACTGACGATTGGCTAGTGTATGTAGACCTTGAAGAAGACATCCTTCGCGGAAACTGTGGGCTTCGAGAACGGTGATGGCTTCAAGAGACGCTCTGGACTACTCGAATGTCGAGGGCTACTAACGCCTCCTAGGCGCTTGTAGAAACACTTAGCCTTCGCTGCCTTGGCGCTAATGTCTGGAGTCAGTGTCCGATCCGACATATGAGTGCTTTGCTTTGCTAACACTCTTCGCATACGACAAGGTGCTAGGGATGGTGCTCCTTCTCCGCCGGGCCTCTTGCAAAGGGTCAGGCTCTAGCTCCTCCTCGAGAGGCGCTGGGATACCTTATGCAAAGAGCTCACTCCGGCAGGGTTGTCGCGAGGCTGCGGCTCTATGGGCTCAGGGTCTCTACGGAAGTCAAGGCGGGCTCTGGGGCCCTGTATGACTTAGTATGGGGTGGGCTCTGGGGCCCGTGGGTTCTGAGGCCTCTGTAAGCCGTGAACGGTCTTCCATCAGCCTCATGATTTGGTTGACCAGGTCGCCTGGGATGGTCTGCGCTGGCGCTGAGGGTGTCCCTCTGTGATAGTGACGGACCCTCAGTTATAATCTCCGGCGGCCAGCGTGAGGCATCTCTGATTGCATGTTGATCGCGCTTGAAGTGACGGTAGCCGCACTGGTCACTTCTTATGACATACATCTGGAATGATAAACCTAAATGTCATCATCATATAAACATAATTCTGGAATATCAGAAGCAAAGTTTTTAGTAGTCTTCGTGGATATCCCTTTGACGAGGCTGTAGACCTGGGGCTCGAGCCTCCACGCTGAGACGACGCGGGAAGTTCTTCTAGTTTTAGACTGTGATGAAGGAACGCCCTGGGAAGCAGGTCACTTCTAGATATAGCGGACTGCGCCCCACGCTTATCCCCCGAAGGTAACTCAGGATATATCTGACTCGATCTATTAGCCAAGACTGAAGATTGTTTCCGAGATTTATCTGCCTCCGGCCTCAAAACAGAACATAAATATTTATCAAAGGCAGAAATTGGTAAATTAATACATAATTTACAACGAAACAATAAAACATGGAGTAATGCAACTAGGGCATTTTAAATGTGGATCGGTAGCAGAGTAACGTAATTTACAAACAGTGCAGATTTTTATTAACGAAACTGTTGAGCAAACACGGCTAACCGTGAATCAAGCAACAGAAACACGTAATAATTATCAATGCATGTTGAATAATGATACTAGTTACACCTCTATAGATGAATATAAGAGGTAACAAACTAAATATAAATAAAGGATATAGTGTGCAGGGAGACACAGGTGCTCTCACGTCTTGCTCAATGGGCGAAGAAGGAGAGAGTCAGGCACATGTGTTCAGGTGGCGCCCTCGTTCCCGCGCTTGTGGAAGGGAGGTAACTCGTGGTCAGTACTAATGAGTGATTTTTTATTGAAGGGAACTTCAATTGGGAGATACAAGTGTTCCACTAGGTTCGCCAGAAGAAGAAGACAAGCAAATAAACATGAGTCAGGATAAGGAAAAATAATAATAATTCGAGGTCAACCTGGTCAAGATTTACTGTATAGGTCCGTCTCCTATTCTCGCGGTAAACACGTTTTCTGCCGAAATCGACGATGCACGACAATTAGCGGTTTTTTACATCACCGACTGGTAACTAGGAAGTGGCCCAAGTCTGTGAGTGATCAAAATCTTGCAGTGTCACGAATATTGGGGAGTTTATACCAACTTGGACATATCATTACTTTTTCCTGCCCTTTCCGGCAGGATTGCTCTTACATACACTCAATAACGTTAATTCCTGGTAATACCGCGAGAATGGGAGAAGCCTCGTTTCGTCAATGGCGGATGGCATTGTTTATCACCGGGCTCACAAGTGGTAATTCACCTGATGGATCTGGCAGCTGATAGATGTAGATGTTACAGGAGAAGGCCCTTCATTTAAAAACAACAAGCATGAATACGATAAGAATTGTTTGTGTTATTTTTTCAGCCGATATCCATAAGTACCGCGAGAATAGGAAACGCCTTCCTACATTATAAATTTCCTATCAATGGTATAGCTCATTAACATAATCTGGAAAACCTGTATTACTGCAAGAGACAGTAAACAAGATGTGATAGAGTTGTCTCACCAGTTGGAGAGGGCTTGAAGAGCCGCATTCATATAGCAGGTGTTGCCCAGATTCTGGAGACCAGTTAAACCTGAAAATAGTAAATGAATTTGGTTAGATATGTTCAATTCGTAAGACGTGACTAACAGGATAGGGTGGTCAGGCTCGCTGACTTGGTTGACACATGTCATCGTATCCCAATTGTGTAGATCGATGCTCATGCTGTTGATCACTGGATTGCCTGGTTCAGACGCGATTATTTACAGACTGCAGCCATATAGCTGGAATATTGCTCAGTGCGGCATTAAACTAAACTCACTCACTCACTAATACATTCAACATGTTTAAAGATACAGTCAAATCCCGATGAGTTGAATCGCTGGGGACCAAGTAATAAATTCGACTTATCGACATATTCGAGACATAGGTATGTCTATGAGGGTAGAAAAAAAGATGATCCAGTCCTAATTCTTCCGCCTAAGCATTTGTTTATCTAATGATTTCCATATCACTAATAGGGGCACCTTATCAGTTCCAGTCTGATTAGCACAGACAGTGATTTCCATAAAATCACTAATCTGCCTTTTGAACTCACCCGTCAATGGCGGATAGGTGTGAGCCGCGCTGGTTTGTTAATTGGATCAGTTTGCTACACCAATCAACTTCTCATTGACTGACTTCGGCTTATGTATACAAGATTGCTGTTGTTTGAATCTCATGGGACCAAATTTCCTTCTCGAGTCATCGTGTGTATTTATGAGACAAATTCGTGTAACCGGTATTCAAATGATGACAACTATCATAGGGGATGGTCGGGACCGACAGGTACTTCGAGTTATGCATAATATTCGAGACACCGGCATTCGACTCATTGGGATTTGACTGTACTTTGAATGCATGTTGCTTATCATGGTTATGTCGGGGCATGTCGACTTGATGAAGGAGGAAAACTGATGTGATGGATGTCTCAGGTGTGTACCATTTCCTTTTAAACAAGAAACATAGGTATGTTACATTGATTGAAACAGCCATAAACACATGCAATCATAATACATTAACCTCATTCAAAATCACGCCATTCATAATCGTCTCGTCTGGTCCAGTCATCTTCCTTTCACAACCTGAGCAAAGTTCAGATCAAAATGAAAAGATGAATCAGAATAATATTTTACGCCAGGTGGTAAACTGACTGAGGAAACTGAGAATTATATAGGTTCTACTTTTCTTGACCTAGAAATATAATTACCTCTTGGTCTACCATTTTCATCATCCATGTCAGATTCGGAATCATCAAGTCCTGAGACACTCCTCTGAGGTGAGCTGTCATTGGAGATGTCAGACCTGTTGCCACAGCTCATCGAGCTACTCATAGCCTGGGCATTCTCTGGGATCCTGCAGACCATAAGGGAGACAACTCAGCAAGTGGTGGGACAAAACAATCATTTTGAAAAAGGTAGAGGAGAGATTCACATTTCATACTGTCTTTCGCATGAAGGGGACAACAGATTAAGTCTGGAAAGAAGGAACTATCGCATGCAAGCAGCTTAACAAGTACAATAATCTAGGAGGTTAAACCCAATTTCATCTCTCCACTATGGCTACACCTTGACAGCTACAGCTAGTGAGCTACTCACACAAAAGGTGGGTTGTTGTTGTCAGGGAACACCTCACACTCACAGAAGCTGCACCAAATACGAAGCGTTGTCAGGTTGATGGACAGTGTGTGGCTCGTCTCCTGAAAATGGAAAAATGGAAGTCCTTTATTCTCAGAGTTGTGAATCATTGGGTACATCTATCTCATATTTGTCATGCTGTGTATGGCGGTTTGTGTACTAGAGGTCAAGCCATCCCTCGTAATAAACCTCTTCGTGATACTGCGGTTTCGGTCAAACCGTGGCTCCCATAAAAACAAAATTCCCCAGTGATCACACATCTTCATGTCATCGGAAATAGCATATCAAAAATCCGCTTTTGCGCTCAGGTTAATCATGTACCATGTGCCACCAGGTGTGTTTCAGATTGCCACGTTCTTCAGGATGAGGAACAGCAACATATGTCATGTTGTACATAGTAGCAATTCCCACAATGATGAAGAAGTGGATGCTGTTCATCGACACAGCATCTGATAAGTTAGGATGGGGAGACAGAAGTCACTGATCCATAATTATAGCACTGATACATTACTCTAAAGCATCATGAGTGAGTGAGTTTGGTTTTACGCCGCTTTAAGCAATATTCCAGCAATATCACGACAGGGGACACCAGAAAATGGGCTTCACACATTGTACCCATGTGGAGAATCGAACCCAGATCTTCGGCATGACGAGCGAACGCTTAAACCACTGGGCTACCCCACCGCCTCCTAAAGCATCATGAAATACATACTGATATACTGATTAAAAGGATATTCCACCTAAAATATGATACATGTACACATAGAAATAATCTTAAGAGAACTGCAATCAACCATGTTAAGAGGCTATTTTGATAGATGTAAACTGGAATTTATTAGTTACTGATTTAGTAATTAAGGTATTAACTTAGTAATGCTGCTTCAAAAATTACATAAATACTGTATTAAATTTAAGGAAGCATTCATCCTGCAAAATACAATGGCATGCCTGGATGGGCTCACATACTTGCTTGATTGATTTTTGTTTAACGCTGCACTCAGATATATTCAAATTTCCAGATAAATGGTGACGGTCTGTAAATAATCAAATCTGGACCAGGCAATCCAGTGATCAACAGCATGAGCATCCATATACGCAACTGGGCTACGATGACATGTGTTAACCAAGTTAGCGAGCCTGACTACCCGACCATTTGATCCCATAAGTCGCCTCTTATGACAAGCATGGGTTGCTGAAGACCAGTTCCATCCCAGATCTTCATGGGTCTCATATGCTTGAAGTTGTGAAGTTGGTTATGCTCTAGAGACTGTGCTTAGAGAAATATGTAATATACACTTGGAAAGTAAAGAAGAAGGATAGGGTCTTTGATAGCTCCTTCATATCTAAATCTAGGGACTCTTAAACATACTAAATCTTTTAAGACTTCATTTTTTATCATTCAAGTTATGTCTATAGTCTGTTTGCGATGAAAACGTACCGATGAATTTCACTTTAAACAAAAAAGTAGATCAAATAAAGTGAAATTAAGATTGCAAATCCTCATAATTTTACCTTGCCATTTGAAAATATAAATCTCAGAATTTTATTCAACTTAGGATAAAAGTTGTTTAACAACCGATCATAGTTTCAAATCGGTATTATTGGTTTGTATTACAAGGGGGTATGCGCATTAAATGAAACCGAGATCAAGTAGGGTTGGTCTAAGTTAACGCTTATCACGTACCGCACGTGCATATGTTTTACTGTTCCAACTACTGCGCTTACCCCCTTGTAATACAAACCAATATAAGCGATTTGAAACTATGATCGTTTGTTAAACAACTTTTTTCCTGAATAAAAATCTAAGATTTAAATTTTCAATTGGCAAGTTAGAATTATGGGGATTTGCAATCTTAATTTCACTTTATTCCATTTATATTTTCGTTTAAAGTGAAATTCACTGGTACGTTTCACTGCAAACAGACTATAGTGGAGGTAGTAACATATACACAAGACAGGTTCCTCATTATGTGTAAGAGTGACTATCTGATGATAGTCTGATCAAAAGGAATGCTTCTATCAATCTTCAAAAAAGAAACATTTTGACATACTGAGGAATGGAGTGAGCTGTGATCCTTGACGAGCTCCCCACATCCGACATACTGACATTGTCCAATGATACACAGCCACAAGTTCGAGCCTTTCACACTACAAGAGTGACACTCTTGATCCTGAAAAATAAGTCGGTGAACATGGTTGAGACATGTAAGAAGGTAATAATTCACTGTTACTGTGTGACGAACAACTCTGTATTTATAACTTGGCCAGGCCAAGACATACTGCCAAAATCAATGAGTCATTAATTCGCTGTTACTGTTAGCGATGTCAAACGATAGAAGAGATTGACAAGCATATTTAGTTTAATTTTTACTTTATAATTTCATTGGTCTGGTTTGTTGGTATAGCAAATCAGTCATTAACATGATTAAGACCATAGTAACGGTAGACATGGTAGGGATACAATCATAAAAGGGATAAAAGTGTAGTTAGGTTATGTCTCTAAAGAGTCTGAAATATGAAATGCAGCATCTTCCAAGCCCTTTTAAATCACAAAACAAAAATATTTATCTTGTTTTAAACATAATTTATTGCCCAAAAAGACAAAGGGATTGGGCACAAGTGCACCACTTATTGAAGCATTCTCCCTGATTTTATATGACTGATGAGTGTCTTCAACCAGTTGCTGTGTACGAGTGGCATAGTTGTAACTTGTATAACATGGTAAGTAGGTAAGGCTTTAGGGCGACCTTGGGCCTCAAAAGGCCTAAATGCGCCAATATATAACATGGTTTAACCATGAAGAGTTGCATCCCTTATACATGTCAGGATAATAGGATCTGAATTATAGGATTTGAATCCCTGTTTGTTAAGAATTTGACTCAATATGGATTTTGACAAAGTGGTAAATGCTTAGGCTTACGCCACTTTGGGCTCTCCTTTCACATCAAGCTGTAATAACCAAAATACTGTTCAACTAAACACACTCTTTACCCTGTTAACCATTATTATCACATGATCTGTACAATAAACATGAGGATAGGAGTATTTTATACAAATGAGCCACAGGGCGCCCATTGAGATATCCAGGTGCGCCTTTTGTGCATGCTAATTGTTTGATCAGCATTCTAGAAGATGGTGATGACAACTTCTTGTCTATTACAAAGAGCAACATTTCGATGTAGATTCTTACATCGCTATCATGCAACAAGTCTACATCAAAACGTCACTCTATGCAACAAACAAGAAGATGTCATCCATAAAGTTGTATGTTTCATTTTTGTGCATGTTGTTCCAACTATAAGAATATATTGTGTTTTTTTTCCATTATTATATAATAAACAGTTAAAGTTTTGACTGTTTGCCCCCTAGTTTGGGTTCTAATTTGGATTTTAATTCCTTGTACTGTTCATTTAGTGTGTTCATGTTTATCACAGCCCTTCAGCATTTTCAGGCACATGGAACAAACTGTAACGAAGCCATTACATTCATGAGCTTCACCTTTTCACAGTGCAATGTTTACACTAATACAAAGTAATTTCTAACCCTGTTGGTAAATAAAAAACACAAGCCTTGTAGTATGCTAATTTGCTAAATTGACACCATGAAAATATAACACGCAACTTACATGTTTTGCTTTCTGTTTGGCTCTCAACTCTTCCCAGTGAATGTCACCAATCCCTCTCACATGAGAGCAAGTGGACGGACTTGATGGCATCTTGATCTTTAACAAATAGTTAAACATATTTATACATGCTTTGACCGTAGCATACAAAGTACATTTTACACACTGTATCACATCTAACTTACTTTGAGCACGTTATGTTTTCACTGACTGACTGTGTTTGGTTTTACGCCGCTTTAGCAATATTCCAGCAACATCACGGCGGGGAACACCAGAAATGGGCTTCACACATTGTACCCATGTAGGGATTCGAACCCAGGTCTTCAGCGTGGCGAGCCAACACTTTAACCACTAGGCTACCCCACCGCCCCTGTTATGTTTTCAATATAAAGAAATATGAATATGATTTATATTGACAACCTTAATAACCCCTGACTATATCAGTACTAGTGGTTATTTTAACCATGTGACCTGACTAATGATCAATGATAATGCTCTACAGGGCATTTAAACTTGTTAACATAACCATCAAAACCAAAAAAGCATGGTTTTAAACTTTGTCATAAATGTACTACAGAGCACTCGTGTGTCTACTAAACTGAAAATAAGTCGACGAAGCATGTGAAAAGTGAGCAAAGGGTTCGTATATTCGTACTAAACCCGAGTGTGACTCAAGGATTTTGATACATTTTCAATCGACATCATGAAATGTCATACGCCAATTTACATTTGACACGGCTATCACTCACTTATTTTTCGTAGAAATCGAATCCTGAGAGGGTCTACTCGTAACAAGTCACATTATTAAATGTGATCTTGCCACAGCTGGAGACCTGCTATGTTGAAACCAAATTTGCTAAGATATCACTACCCGGTGCAAGTTATGGCGACGACGATGCTAGCGCTACAGGAAAAGGGGGAACAACTCTATTTTACTAATTAATCCAACCGCTACAAATTTATATATTGAAAGTATAGACATTGAAAGTGTGTTTTAATGCTTTGTTGTTGTTTTCTGTTTGTTCAAAGCACAAGGTTAAAAAATTAGGATCCTATGGTTATTAGTTGATGTCATTAATAATGTTTAATATCGTTTAAGTAAATTTTTAGTTCAGCAGTTAGTGAGGTATATGATCATGATAGCATACCTTTCAATGTCAAAAGCGCAGCAAACATTCTTGGCGAAAACAACTCGGAAAAAGTTATTTCTCAGGTGAATAACCGAATAATAATACGGTATTTGTGTTTTGAATTACAGTGAGTGATTTAGTATTACGCCGCACGAATGGCATTATATTCCATGACAGTGAGTGAGTTTAGTTTTACGCCGCACCTAGCAATATTCCAGCTATATAGCGGCGGTATGTAAATAATCGAGTCTGGACCAGACAATCTAGTGATCAACATCATGAGCATCGATCTACGCATTTGGGAACCGATGACATGTGTCAACCAAGCCAGCGAGCCTGACCACCTGATCCCGTTAGTCGCCTCTTACGACAAGCATTGGTTACTGAAGATCAATTCTAACCTGGATCTTTTCGGGTTTGAAACCCTCTGTAAAATACAAAGTAATACCACGGGTTTAAATGACAGCGCGTCACCTAAGCGTCACATGATATGGCATCATAATAATAACGGATAACTTTATTCACTACTGGGCAAGGTAGACTTTGGCACGAGTGAATATTTATTAAAAAGAAACTAGGTCATACATCTGTTCATACGTTTGATCAATCTCCGTCACAACGTTTCTCATGCCAATTTTGCAACGAATGTCAGTAGCAACGTATACTATTACATATTGTGTAAGAGTTATCCGCAATTTAGGCTCAGATATCTTGAACTGATATACACACTGATAACACGTATGGCTGATTTAACGCCGATAACTCTTCTGGACATCTGATAATGAATGTCATGTATGTATGTTTCAATTTCACTTACTCATATCTGAAAATCAGCACAGGAAATTAATGAAATAAACTAATAAAATCAATTTAAATGTAAAGCCTGAATTAAGATATCTCGAAATAATTCTGAGTATAAACCAAACGATTTTACATATCTCTAAAAATTGACCGATAATAAAACGTCTCGCCTTGGATACGGGATGATCTCCGTAAGAGATGACTAATGTGGATCGGATGGTTAAATCAAGCCCTGTCTAGTTGCTCATGACGTCAACCGCTTGTGCAGGTATGAATATTTGAGGGTTGCCGTGATATAACTGACTTTTATTGACTGCAGAAATCAACATGCACAGAGTAATATTTATAAAGCTATCATAAATGTAAAATAGTCGATTTATTAGTGGAGTTAACTTAGAAAATGGGGAAATATCATATTTTTTGGAAATTTTCCAATGTGACGTCATACTTGCGTTTCTGCAAACAACAACGCGATGACGTTATCCATAATTGTAAACCAAAAGTCACTGTGTTCTTTAATCTGATTTGTTGAAAAACATGATCAAATGGTACTCGATTCCCGGAAATTCGCTGCGTATTAATACACTAAAAAATCGCTCACACCATTGTATTCATTCGTGACACACTCGTGTTATTCCGGGACAAGCCGAATACTTGCAGGTTACGGAAAGGGGCGAGTGGTGACGAATGCAATGTATTGTTACGTCGTCAGCTGTGATGACGTCATTCAAATCATATTGTGACGTAAAGTCGGAATGACGTCACAAATGAGCAGTTCCAGATGGTACCATGGGAACAGCCGAAACGGCCGGCTGATGACATTTCACTGCTGTACCCGTACTCGATGTCAATGAGTGCAGACACAAAAACGCGTGTGGACCCGTCGGTTCCAAATGAATTCCCGTGCTTCAAATACTCAATAACACTCGGAAATTGGCCAACACATGATGTTTATCTCCTAATTACGTAACAGTGGATATATCTTTGAGATTAAGTAGGATAGGGGTGTTGAAGTTTTGTATTTTATTTGTCAAAGGTGGAGACACCGTATTACCGCTGCTGTCCCGTATGTGACAAAAGTGAGTGAGTGAGTGAGTTTAGTTTACGCCACACTCAGCAATATTCCAGCTATATGGCGGCGGTCTGTAAATAATCGAGTCTCGACCGGATAATCCAGTGGTCAACAGAATGAGCATCCATCTATACGCAACTGGGATACGATGACATGTGTTAACCAAGTTATCGAGTCTGACTACCCGATCCCGTTAGTCGTGTGAGACACAAGATGGCTTCCCGGTGTAGCGTCGGGATGCGCCAGATTCGCTGCGGTGTCAGACTTATCATTGACTAGATTGGTACTTCCCGGTGGAGCGTCGGGATGCGCCAGATTCGCTGCGATGTCAGACTTATCATTGACTATATTCAGACATCCATTGGTACTTCAATTCATTTGGTACTTCAGCCTAATTTCATATTGTCAATATGGACAGAAATGAGTGTGAGAATAATGAAAAATAAGACTACTTTTATTTTGTAATTTCACTTAAAATCATGTTGTCATTAGTGTGGATGTTTGTGCCTTCTCTGTCCATCTTTTTTTGGTTTTGTAGCTTTCCAAAAGGTAAATTTGATTTCTGTTGATTATGAAATTTACTGTTTATTACACACCAGTCAACGCAGATAAAGGAACAATATGATTTTAATCGGTATGTTTTCCAAGCACTGTAAATACAAATGTTTTAGCACCAAGCTCTGGAAATGATTCGTGCTTAGTAATAAAACATTTTTTTCAATTATATGTTACGAAAACATGCCACCTAAATGATGGAGATACGTGTTTTTTACTCCAACATGATCATAGTATGCATCTCCGCAAGCTCCCTTCAACCCGTGAAGAACCCGGTCAGAATTGGTCTTCACCAACAACTCCACCCCTCTAGCCCCCGTCCCCCTATTGTTACAAGCCACTAATTAGTACCTCTAGCCCCTCGCCTGGCTGTTCTGTTAGCTGTACTCACTCCCCTGTAACTGGATTAACTGCTACCATTAATTAACTCGTTAGGTCAGGTGTTGGTGCTCGTTGGGTACTCCTTAGGTACCGGTACTTGGTATAGATAATAGAGAATCATACATATTGTCCATCATATGTCCAGGTATGAGCCAAGATTTCTTTCACATAACCGTTACTCTAGTCCAAGACGTTTGCAAAAGTTGCACAAGCTGTACTTGTAGGATTCACAACCAACACCTAACCGAACCAGCTTAGTAGCAGTTAATCCAGTTACAGGGGAGTGAGTACAGCTAACAGAACAGCCAGGCGAGGGACTAGCGGTACTAAGGGACCGTTCATAATAAAGGCTAAGGGGGTGATGATGATTTTTATGTAGAAACATGTACAATGTGAATGACCCCCTCCAAAAATTCATGTATACAAAATAAGACACCCCTCCTGCATGTCATGTACAAAATCAATGACACCAGCTCCCCAGAACAAAATGGTGACACCCCCACCCCCTAAAAATCATCATCACCCCCCTAGCCATAAATTACGAACGGTCCCTAATTAGTGGCTTGCAACAACAGGGGACGGGGGCTAGAGAAATGATGCCTCACCAACCCATGCTCATCATATATAAGCGGCAACTAACGAGATCGAGTGGTCAGGATCGCCCACTTGGTTGACACTTTACAGATGCTCATTAGATCAACCACGAGAGCGTCTAGTCCACACTCGATTATTTCCAGTCCTCTGGAATTTTGCTGGTGATCGGCGTTACGCAACAAACAGCAAAAACCCAACAATCCCTACCAGGTAGTCTGTCTCACAGTCACTGAACCACATTATTTTCCCACTGCCAAGCCCTCTGCAGTGCTAAAGCCCTAAATAAAGCAAGTCTAGATTTCCTCAGGTTCGGGAATCTGAATCTCTGGTCTCCCCGGGGCTCCTTTTCAATTTAAATGGGCTTGTTTGTTACTATCAAATGATATATATTCAGAGACTAAGCATTAGTCTACCTACCAGGGGTCACCTGATTCAGGACTGGCTGTATTTGTATTCTATTTTAAGACCTACCTACTTGTATTTTTTGAACGAGCAGTTCACTGACATGATAAGATAGCGATGACCTAATTCAATGATTTTACCGTAGTATAAAGGTATCTATCAGTCCACCCAGTACAGTTCCTCTGTAACTATTGGCATATTAACTAATATTATATCGTTCATGAAAATATGGGAACAAAACGTGACTGGGTTTGTTTCATCAACACATTAATACATCTTTTCAGGAAATATTACGAATGACTTGCACAATTCCTGCATGAGTACATATGTTCCTCAAAGACATTATTATTATTATAATTATTACATATATACCTCTAGGTACGTTCGGTTATTGACCAATTTTAGTGACTTAGGCCACCGATGTTACATGGCGACCGGGTTGGCTACATTTAATGAAGTAAACCGTTGTTAATCCATAAATAACTTAGGACAATAGCCGAAATATAACCGTGGGGTTTTACCTGAGGCAGATATGTGCCCGCAGTATACACGAAATATGGTGCATGTCGGGAGACATACTAATATTCATTGTTCCAAATTCTTGACAAGAAATAGTTCCAATAATCAAAGTAAATATTTAATTTTACATTACATACACAGGGCCCTTGTATTCCTGTAATGACCCTGAAAAGTGTATTTGTTTTAATCGTCTGCGCCAATAGTTTTGAAGGTCAAGGTGAAACCCTGATAACGTTAAATAGACACTTTGATATGATTCAAAATGCATGGTCACCCGAACACAACAGCTGTATGCATTGATCTACTGACATACAAATATACGAGGTTTAACAGGTGCTTTAAACTAACAACTTGTCTCTGAAATGAATATATTTTACAGAAAAAGGTTCACAGTAAAACAAATAACATATAATGAAAAAGAAGCCCTGAGACTTTCTTCATTTTCAGAGACCCTGAAGCTGTGGAAATCTAGACTAGACACATTTTCTGGACTTGCGTGGGCTTTCTTGGATATATTTGCTTCAGGGTCTGTTCGACAGACTGCAAGTGATTCGATCAATGCTTGACAAAGCTGACTCTGTACTTTATAAATAAAAACGGCAAAGCAATTCAAAATAACGCGTAAAACACCAGAGACCATGAAACATCTTTATGAAGTTTTCATTTTGATTCGATATTATTTATGACAATTGACATACATCAGAAAGCATATAAACTACGAACCTCGGGTAAACGATGTTAATTAAACTGGTTTTATTCATGAATAAATGAAATGAGACTGCTTACTAAAACACCACACCTCAGTGGTTAGTAGACCTGTATGTGATAAAACTATGATTTTAATCGCATTGGCCTACCAAGGTTAACTCTGGTTATGGCTTCGTCACCACGGGTTCACCTTTGTCATCCTGGGTTTTGAAAAAGAACGCAAACTGTTACCTAAAGAAAAATTAATGATATATTTACATTCGGATTAACTCGGAGTGTTCCGAGGCGGCATTCAGATGTTCCGATTGCGCTTGGTGACCCCATTTTTCACCCGGACGAGTCCAATCCTCGCGGGGAAGTATGTGTACCATTATCACAACCTAACACATGATAATATATTTTGCAAGTTGTGATACGTATAATATGTCTTAATATAGATACAATTTCAATTCCACATACTGTGATTATTTCAATATTTGATATTTCATTGGTGATTTTCTGACTAGTAAATAACCTGACACCCCTAATTTAATAAAATGCAAGTCGTCTCTTGAGGAAGGCAACAGATCCCAAACAGTGACAAGCATGGCGGATGATATTCCTGTGTTTCCCAAAGCGAGCACCTTGCAAGTTCATAGTGGTGATATTGTCAATTGGGACAGGCTAAAGAGGAAGCCAAATCAAAATTCCACGGAGGAGGTGAGTTGTCATTATTGAAAAATGCCGATAAATGGTCAGACGGTTTTTTTCGATGATCAAACTTCATGTCTTCATACAACACAGCGAACGCAACGACCGAACACCCCAAATCCAATCATTTTACAGGAAATGAAAGTGCTTTCTCATCATCTCAAACGATAGATCTAGAAGCTTTTTCTGGGCCATTGTTGTTGAACATGTTCTGTCTTATATTGTTACATAAGAAATAGACCTGTTAGAGTGAAACTTTGTCATAGAAGATTAATTGTCAGATAGTAAAAGTCAACAGCAAGATTGTGTTTATATGTATCATTTGAAACAATAAATAACAACCCTTTAATCGGACAATCACGTTAACGTAAGAGTAGCAATTTACAATTTAGGAAGTTACCTGTTGGTTGTCATGAGTGAGTGAGTTTAGCTTTACGCCGCACTCAGTAGCTATGCTCGAGGGTTTTTCTAAACATGTGATATCATTATAAGAAAAATATCATTATCTCATATGAACCTTAACTTAGAACACCATATTTTTTATGGATTTTTATTGTCCATATATCTCATGTGAAAAATCCTACAAAAATGGCACCATCAGGACCCCAAGAAACACACAAAACAGAAAAAGTGACAACAGTACATAAAATATTCACTTTTGGTGGAAAAAATGAAATCTTTAAATCACAAATGTGTCCTTATCAATGCTGATCGGTGGGAACAAAATTTAAGGTCAAGGGTGTTCAATGTGATTTTATAAATAGAAAAAAAAGTGGAGAAAAATTAGCCGGAAATGGATGAAATTCTCCCAAAACATACATTAATGTCTTTGCACTCTCTGTGTCAACCACAAATTCAAAGGAGAAGTGTTAAAGGAACTAAGTGGAAGATGTGTTTGCATTGAATAGTTGCATATGCAGTGAGTGAGAGTACAAGTTTCCTGTCTTGTGTAATATGTTGCAGTCATCAGTGGTTATCATTATGATACCATTGGTCTGTTTAGTTTAGTCTAGCCCTACTTGATGATAAATCTTTGATTTAGGGAATGTATAATGATTTTGATGATCATTTATTCAGAGAAAAATATGTGTAATATCCCAGCAGTATGTAATACCTTGTCTGTCAGTCTGTCTGTCCTGCCCGTCCGTCTGTAATTCATTTCGTTTCGGAGCAGAACTTGAAAACTGTTCATTAATTCTTTCTGAAACTTTGTATGCATCAGCCAAGTACTGAAGTGGTGCCTTTTGATATTTTCAGAATACTAAAATTTTATTTCAATGGCTAGATGTAGAATTGATTCCGGGTAAAGGTTTGTTTATGGATCAGAAAAATGATCTTAGGATTTATGTGGAACTGGAGGGATAGTCATCTTCTGATGATTTTTGTTGTCACATTGATATACAATAAACCAGACTTGACTTGATATAATAACTACATTTAAAACAAATATAAGATATATTTACTAATTTACTAAATATTAACTCATGTGAAATTAAATGATATGGTAGAATTACCAAGACAGACAGGCCATGGGATCTTAATAGACAAAGGCTGATCATTTTATATTTTTGCATTCAGATTTTCCCAATTTGTTTCATTTGCAAATTGTCTAATTTTTCTAGACTGAACGACCCTTTCTCATTGAAAAAGCTACAAAAACTTTTACAAAATCACACAGATTAGCATTAGCAAGGGGGTTTAGATTTCAAAGGGAGGTAACTCGATCATGAAATTGATAAAAATGCAGACCACATGTGAAAGTCACCCATTTTGAATTTGTTTTAAAATGCCTTTGTCACTTGAAAAAAAATATTTCAAGGAGAGTTTTATTAAGTATATACTTTTTTCTTTAAAATAAGAAAGTTTCATTAGTGTAATAAGACATTTTCCTCACAAAATCAAATTTTCAAAAACATATTTCATCATAACAAAACTATTAAACCAAGTCTAGCTCTAAATATAGTTATTACACATCTGCCATTTACCACAGCCTGTAGTGCACATACTATTTCCCATCTTTGTAGAAGGATTTGCTTCAAATTTAAACTTCATGAAATCAACGTCGGGGATGAGTTAACTGAGGGTAGCCCTCATGATCCTCAACAGCATGAGTTTCAGCCCATGTGTTAACCAAGCCACTGACTACAACAAGCAGGTCTGGGATGAGTTAAATCCGACAGCCTTAGCTTCAGTTAGCATTGACTTTTATAAATACACTCCGTCGTAATTCAAGAATAAGTTGGTATTTCTCAGAATATGTACCATGATACAGGGCTCCAGATAAAGGCCGTATCGGCGTATGTACGACTAAAAAATATGCATGATACGGTGGGAAATAATTTAGAAAACGTAGCGGATACGCACCACACCAGTGGTGTACAGTCCCAGAATCATTTACAGATGTATTTATCTGAAAACGTATTATTTTATTGTTTATTGCTCCATTTACACAAGAGTAGCTATGTTGTGGTGCATATATTAAACGAAACACAAGATTACTGATACTGCATTAAATTCCATTCAGTACTCACAATGTACTCTTAAGGTTTTCCTGTACTCCTATATTGAAAAAATAAGGAGTACTCCTGATGTTGAAAAATTATCTGGAGCCCTGATGATATGAGACTATCACTGTGAATCAATTTATATTGTCGAAATGGTATGTTTTGTTCCAGCTCAAGGAATGCATTGAAGCTGCCTTGAAAAAGTTTCTGTCCACTGCTGATAAAACTCAACTTCAGGTAAGCCTCTTTACATAGAGCCAATGGAATTTTATTTCCGATTCCATTGCAAAAAAGTGACCATGGCTTAAATGTTTATTGTTAGATGTAATTAAAGAAATGTTATACAGTGAAAGCTGTAAAAAACGGCAGCTGTCCAATCCGGCAAGTTGTCAACATCAGGATAAAATCTCAGTCATGTCCGTGGCTAGAACATTTATCATCAATTAAAAGCTCTGATATCCGGCATGAATATGTGTTAACACAGTATTCAGTCCTGTCTAATCCGGAGTGTGGCGAGGAGTCGGTCGGATGGGTATTATTAATCCTACATTGAAATAACAATCAACATGTTATGTAACGCTGAAGGGGTCGTTGTCGGCACATGCACTACCGATGTGTACCCCAGGTACGTTTCTGTATACAGAAACGTACCATAGCCAAAATCAGCATACAGAAACGTACCCTAGGACGATTCCATACCCACTGTGTCGTTTTCTTGATCGGACCTGTCATCCTGTTGTATTTGATACATTTGATTGCGTTATATAAAAAACAAACATACACAGTAACGGTTATATTTCAATGCCCAATACCACTCGTAAACTACATACGGTTTTGGTTTTGGATTGCGGAATATGGACTCGTCCGCCTTTTAGGGTACGGGTACCTTTCTGTATTTGGACTTTGTTTAGGGTACATTTCTGTATACAGAAACGTACCTTGGGTACGTATCTGTAGTACCTGTGCCGACAACGACCCCTTCAGCTTAAGTAACTACATGGTTGCCTACAAAGATAATTTAATCTTAGTTCAGTATGGGTATATTTGTACATGTAATTAGTGAGTGAGTGAGTTCGGTTTTACGCTGCTTTTAGCAATATTCCAGCAATGTCTGCGGTCTGTAAATAATTGAGTCTGGACCAGACAATCCAGTGATCAACAGCATGAGCATCGATCTGCGCAATTGGGAACCGATGACATGTGTTAACCAAGCCAGCGAGCCTGACCACCCGATCTTACAACAAGCATGGGTTGCTGAAGGAACATTCTAACCTGGACCTTCACGGGTTCGTTGTCATGACCTAAATCACAGTCTGTAGACAGCAGGCTTAACCAAACATACACACGACTTCAGTTAGGTCTACATCAATACGGTGACTTTTATAAATACATTAGGAAATTTGGATGTTCCACCAGATACATATCTTCAGGGAGCATAATTTATAAATATTGATGAAATAGAGATACTTACGGGATAACTGTACTGTGTTTGACGAATTGGGGACTTAAACCGTTATATAAGCCGCAAATTTAATTATATCGGCGACGCGTAAGTTGAATTAGAATAATTGTTATCCTCATTATCACAGACTGGGTTAAGTATCAATATCTGTTCTAGTTATGACTTATACATCGACGGTACTGTGAAACTCCCTGTCGTAATTCAAGAATGAGTTGGTATTTCTCAGAATATGTACCATGATACAGGGCTCCAGATAAAGGCCGTATCGGCGTATGTACGGCTAAAAAATAAGCACAATACGGTGGGAAATAATTTAGAAAACGTAGCGGATACGCACCACACCAGTGGTGTACAGTCCCAGAATCATTTACAGATGTATTTATCTGAAAACGTATTATTTTATTGTTTATTGCTCCATTTACACAAGAGTAGCAATGTTGTGGTGCATATATGAAACGAAACACAAGATTACTGATACTGCATTAAATTCCATTCAGTACTCACAATGTACTCTTAAGGTTTTCCTGTACTCCTATATTGAAAAAATAAGGAGTACTCCTGATGTTGAAAAATTATCTGGAGCCCTGATGATATGAGACTATCACTGTGAATCAATTTATATTGTCGAAATGGTATGTTTGTTCCAGCTCAAGGAATGCATTGAAGCTGCCTTGAAAAAGTTTCTGTCCACTGCTGATAGAACTGAACTTCAGGTAAGCCTCTTTACATGGAGCCAATGAAATTTTATTTCCGATTCCATTGCAAAAAAGTGACCATGGCTTAAATGTTTATTGTTAGATGTAATTAAAGAAATGTTATACAGTGAAAGCTGTAAAAGACGGCTGCTGTCCAATCCGGCAAGTTGTCAACATCAGGATAAAATCTCAGTCACGTCCGTGGCTAGAACATTTAGCATCAATTAAAAGCTCTGCAATCCAGGCATGAAATGGGAAGCCTGAATGTGTGTTTACACAGTATTCAGTGCTGTCTAATCCGGCATTTGGCGAGGAGCCGGTCGGATGGGCACTATTAATCCTACATTGAAATAACAAGGGATTATTTGTGTGTGGCAGTCATCACACGTTAAGTAACTACGTGGTTGCCTGACAGCACTTAATAATACCGATGTGTTGTATATATTTTACCACTAGACTTACATTTTAGGCCAAAAAACCCCATATGTCCGTTTCCTATTACATGCTTTTTAAAAATAGGGTGAGTGGAGTGGGTCGGTGGCACCAGGTGGGCACCCTGAGTACCATATCATGTAGTGACAATGCCTTATGATTAAACATTGAAAGATTTCTATATCAAATCTTTATTTATGTTATTTATTTGCAGGTTTTGACAGTGAGAGCCCATTATGACAATTGAATGCACTCCATTTTAGCCCTCCGTACACTGAAAAACATGAAAATATCAAACTCGATTAAGATGAAAATGATGAGTTGAAATGCACTCCAGTCATGATATTGACTTGGTTAAAAAAAGATTTAGGGTCGGAGGGTTTGGATAGGGTTGGTTGGGTTACCGGAAATGGACATATTTTTTTGTTTTTGGCCTTACTGATACACTGCTTATATGACAAGTAAGTTTTGGACAGGTGTTAACTAGACTAAGGCTGAGATAACATTTGATTGAAATAACATTGTTCTCTTGCAGTACACTAATGACCTACTGTGTGTCAACTGCTCCCAGAAGGAGCAGACTGGTTCTGAAGAGAGACCAGACCTCAAGATCACTGGTATGTCATCCTTCTGTCTAGTTGACCCGTGAAGATCTGGGTTAGAATTGGTCTTCAGGAACCCATGCTTGTCGTAATAATCACTAACATATTCAGGAGCCTAGGGCAGTCCTTGTGATTTACATGCACATGTGTGTGTTTGTGTGTATCTGGGGCTTCTTATAGTAGTTCGGACGTTCGCCAGATTATTAGAGCTAGTTTGTCACAGTTTGACATGATTCTCATTGGGCTCAACTGAAGGATTATATATATTTCATAAAGATTTAAGTACAATTTGAAGTCTAGTTAAGAAGGGTCAATGCACTTTCCCAGTACATTGACCCTTCTTAACTGACTTCAAATTTTACTTAAATCTTTATGAAATATATATAATGTTTTCAATTTTTAAATATCCTGGTTATATAGAACTTGCACTGGAACTTGAAACTGTGAATGCTACTTTCATCCAGTGCATGTTATTATTTTGCTGATCAAAGAAATTGAAGACAGGATGATGAGGAGCTGGCTTGGAGCAGTGACTGATGACTACACGGACAGTGACTGTGACTGTTACTGATCATGAACTTTTATGAAGTAAGATAAAATTATCTTTTAGACCCAGAATAATGTAATGTTCTAAATCAGAGGCCCAGATAAGCTGAGTATCCGGGTAAAATACACATAGAAAATTCCCATTTACGCATTGAAAAATAATTGTTGCGTACCAATTACGCATTTAAAATGTTAGATACGCAAAAAGTTTAAAACAAATGCGTACGGAATATATTTATAAAAATCGCTTGCGTAATGAAAATGACATCGATTGCTATCAGTATAGGGCAAGTGTTGTACTGTCAGTATAGGATGAGTGATTTCCATTATATTTAAGTTGGTTTTGATTAGGTATGACATAAGGCAGAACATACCTGCTTAGTAAACTTACTCAATGACATAATACTTAAGTGAGTAAAATGACTGAAATACGCACATATTTGAAAGCAGTGGGTAACGGAAATTGAAATACCCACTCAACATTTATAATACCCACTCCATAAAAATACAGTGGGTACAGTACCCACATGAGCTAAATCTTATCTGGAGCTCTGCTAAATCATCAATGCTAAAAGAGAAGCATTAAGTATTATTTTACATTGAGCAGCAATTGTCTGTTTTTGTCTGTTGTAACAGGTGCAAATATGTTCATTTCCTTAAATTGAACCCTGTTGTGCAGTGTGCAAAATTTACGCTGGTCCTGTGGTCCCTGGCTAGTAAAAATTCACCAGGACCACTAAATGATAAGTTTGCAGTGGTCCTGGTGGCCAGTGAATGTTGTATTGATATTTAGTAAATCTACGAATGTTATTTTGGACCAGTGAAGTACAGACAGGACCACTAATTATTGTCCACTCACTGGTCCTGTGGTCTAGTGGGAAATTTTGAAAGGTTTCCTTCCCTGGTAGGGCTTCCACGGTACTCGAGTACTCGAGGACAAGTCGGGTTCAGCTGGACTCTAGTCCATTTTCAAGGACTCGAGGACTCGAAAAGGGGAGATAACTCGAATTATTTGACGTTGACAGATTGTCTGCCATGTGCTAAGCACGAGCGGCAGTAACGTCTAATATTAAGATAAGATATAACTTCATTATCCCGGAGGAAATTCTTATACATCCAAACTGTCTCAAAATGAATATATACACAGTTCACAAAAATATACACAATAATTGCATGCTCAAAACGAATGCTATTTACAAATAAATCTGACATGATGTAATTCAATTAACCTCATAGGTAAAGAGGCTGAATAATTCTAGTTCTAATCACATGATGGTGTGATTCAAAATAGTTGTTGCATTCACGAATACTTGATGGTATGAAAGACTGTCGAGCTCTGTTTGTTTTGAGGGAAGGTAATCGACAGCAGCGTCCAGAAGGAAGTAGTTCGAAATGGTGAGATCAAATATATCAACTATCAAATCGAATTTTAGCTGCCTTTTTGACAATCTCGCCCTCATAGATAAAGGGAATATACTGGAAAGACACTCCAGAAATTTTGCAAGCAGTATTAACAATTTTGAAAAGTTTGTTTTTGTTGCGATGAGACAGATCCCCATACCAACATAGAAAATTGTAGGTCAACACACTTTTTGAATAAAGGTTTGATAAAAAACTGTCATTACGGTTTTGTCAATGCCTTTACGATAATAATGTTCAGAATCAGAAATTAGGCCAGTAACAGTGGCGTCATCTGCAAATTTCACAGTAAGCAAGTCATATATTGACAAGTAACAGTCATTGGTATACAAAACGAAGAGTACGGATGAAGGAACACAGCTATGTGGATCTCCAGTAGAGGTTGAGAGAAAAGAAGATTGATAGCCATTGACACTGACATACTGAGTTCTATCCACCCTGAATTCTTTAACCCATCTGATAATGTTTTTATTAACACCTAGATTAAATAGTTTACTCCTCACACGGTGTGGCTGTATGGTATTAGTTGTTACAAGTCTGCAGATGAGAGTAAATATTATACATCGTTTGAGATTCACTTCTTAAAATGATTAGGTAACTATCTTGACAAGTGATAGACATGGAGAAAGATACAAAAATCGAATGTATGGGCGTATCTTGATCTGGATAGTGAAAAGAGCAAAATAACCAAATGCCACCTGTGCGGTATATCACTGCGTTTTGAAGTACAAGAAGTACGAAGAAAAAAACATTTGTCAAGTAAACATCCAAATACTGATTCTGACCAATAGGAAATGTTAGTCACATGACGATATGAAGTCGGAAAGAAGTAAGTGTTCACTTGTGTGATCGGAACACGTCATGCAATTTACGCTATCATTTGCTTGAAAGGTATGAATTTCAAGTACTCGGGTCCGAGTCGAGTCTCATCCCTCGAGTACTCGAGTCTAGAAAAATGGACTCGTTGAAGCCCTATTCCCTGGTTGTGCATTCAGGCACAGTACACTCACTTTAAACTGACAATCCCCTTGATACAAATCATCAGGCAGAGCAACAACAAGTTCAGTCTTTTAACATTATTTGATGTCCTGGGTCCTGGGGATGAAACTACCACCTCCTCACCGTGTAGCCACTCTATGAAATATTAATGTTCAAAATGTAACTAAATTTACGCAATAATGCTGCGAAAATAAGTATCTTGATACGTATCGAATCATGACATGGGTATCATGATACGTATCGATTCATGAAACTTATGTATCGTGACATACGTAGTTATTACACATTGTGTGATGCCTCTTTTTTGACACCATATCATTAACTTGTTTAATAAAAATGGTATTACACGGAAAGTCGTCTGTGTACATACCATTTCTGGTGTCCCCCGCCGTGATATTGCTGGAATATTGCTAAAAGTGGCGTAAAACTAAACTCGTTCAGTCAGTCACTCAGTGTACACTCATCAGTATAATGCAGGCATATTGGTTAAGTAAGTTGTTTTCTCACAAAGATGTTTAACCTGTATTTTTCCCACTGATCAACTAAACTTTCTGGACCATTTCAGGCACATTTTGACAGGAGCAGTCTGCTATAGTTATGCGTCTAATGGACTGACACATTTTATTTTTCAGGGAAGTTGTTTTTATCAACTCAACAGTCACCGGAAGTCATCAGAGAAACAGTTGAGAAGTGTGAGTACTCGTGTACTGAATAACACAGCTACTGATAACTTTTTGGGTCATTGAGTTATGTACTCACTTGTGTTCATCTCAATTGGGTACTAGTATCCCAATTTTTCTTTGAGTAACCAAATAAATTGTACTCACCTCACTCAAACTCAATTGGGTATTTTGCCATTTTCCATTAAATTTGAAAATATAGTGAAGTTTAAAAGTTAATGTTTGTTACATATATTTGATCTGTAATATGAGAAACGAAAAGAAAGACTGCAAGTTGTCAAGTTCATGTCCTGAAATAGCTCTCAGTATACTTCAGTAATTTTATGTATCCACCGGTACGCAAGCTAAGATTTGACATTTTTGTGTGTACGCATGTAAAATCGCATTTATTGAATATTTAAAAAAATTCAAGCCTTCTTGTACGCAATAGACTGAATAGAAATTGAGTTTTCACATAAATATTTGCGTAATTTACGCAGATACGCAGCTTAGCTGTACCTCTGGAATAACATGAATAAGCAACAGTCTGGTGAACAAGGATGCATCCTTAGTTTACTGTGTTCCATGTAGCTGCCTGTAGGGGTAAAACGGTACGCTGTTACCACGGTACAGTACGTATTGCGGCACAAGGCCTTCGGTTCGGTCCGTCTCGGTTCGGTATATGAGATATGATCATAATGCAGAAAATTGACAAGAGCCAAACCTTACATTGTTTAATAACTTGGGGGGAAAATAACCTTAATCTTTGTTATTTTTAATGAATAAAACTGTCATTTCATGACAAGATAGAAAGTATCACTGAAACCTTGGAGCTCACGGCTGTGTGACAAAATAGCAAGTAGCCAAATATGATTAAAAGTCACTAACATCACATCAGTATTTGCTGCAGTGAAATCACCACATCCCAGGAATGTTAATGGGTTTTTTAAAAAAAAACAATAGACAGATCAGATCTTGTCGAATGTGACTCTGTTGATGACATATCATAGATAAATAAATTAAACAAATTAACACAGCACAGTTGTCACAAGACAGTAACAGTCTGTGTGACAGATCATTGTCCTTCCTATAAATCATTGTCTATCTCTCGTTTCAGTCGGTTAAAAATTTAGAGACTTTCCACAGACCTTGGGAAGTACTGCTACACAATCTTGGTACATTCCAGAATTTTGTTTTATTCAGTTTTCAGATTCATTCAAAATATCTTTTAAAGTTCACTCAAAAATGTATTTCTCCTTTCTGATACAAATATGTTTAGCATGAGAATGCTGCTTTCTCTTTTCATTGGTCGTTAAATGTTCATTGTTCTGATATAGCTTGTAATGAGATGGTAGCAACAACAAACAAACATATTACTTAAGAACTGTGATAGGAAAGCCACCAGATCCATACCCATAAGTGGTTGCGCGTGGTCCTCAGGTCACAAATTGTTGAAGTTAAGCAGCGTCGAGCTCGGAGAGTCCTTGGATGGGTGACCGTGTTTGGCAGCTTGACTCCTGAGAGTTTCTAGGACTTGAGTCCTGCCCCATAACGAAGCACATCTGACACATGTGGTCTCACCTTAGGCAAGTGAGTTTGTTCAAAATTGTCTCTGTTCACCCAGCAGGAAACTGGGTACCCGGTGGAAAAAAGTCATATGACTATTACCTTCTAGCGCCTAACAGGCAGCTTGGGTTATCCGGGGTAATAATGTGCTGTGCCTTGATTGTTAGCGCTATGAGCATACCTAGTGTGGAGTTTGGCGCTATATAAATGGACACATTATTATTATTATTATTATTAATATAATAATTGCCGTCATCCCTCGCTATAACGCCGGTCTTGGGGTCCATGCATGACCCCCCATGTTATGAGACACCCACGTTATACATAACCTGGAATAAAGGCCAAGTAAAATTGTATTTTCCATGGACATAACAGAACTGCTATTTCGTGTATTGTGCCCAGTCAAAACTATATCATATTGTCGGAGGTGAAAAACTTTTAAAATTAAAATATATATGTGTCTAGGTAACCTGCAATCAAATTAAACATCACTAGACATGATAATTCAGTTTTCCTTCCTGTTATGCTACCTTATTCAACTAAGCCGGAAATAACAATCAGCTGTGTACAAAGATAATATACAAAGCTATGGTATTAGTATTATGCATGTTTTCTACTTACATATTTAACATTATTATTTACATAGGTTCAGCACTTTGGGTTACGTGGCTGGATACATTTTACGTAGAAGACAGTTTGACAAGTCAACGTTGACTTCCCGCGGTACCTGCCACTTTGATTGTAAAAACAAAATGTTGGCAATTAATTGTGAAATATGACTTCAATGAGTCAATAGCGCTGGCAGTAATCAGTTCGTGATTGCTGGGAATAATGGGAAATTGATGCTAAAGCGGTAGGCGTGAAAAGCGGAACCTTATGAACAAGGTAAGCGGAAGTGGTACGAGTATAGAATGAGGTGATGCATTTCACACACGTTTTCTCCTATGTAAATGTAAACAGTTTTAATCAATGAAAATGGGATTAAATTTAATCAAATATAATGAAATCATGGAAAATCGTTTTATAATGAGTTTCCCGACATCATACGTTTTCCGATGGTGCAGCGGTATTGACTCGCGGTGTGTTGCACCATAGCAAACATCGTAAGTACTCGGCTGATGGCGTGTCTTTATGGTAAAGTTGTCTTTTATGAGGTATTACTATGTTCCGCTGTTCATCTGATTTGAAATAACTGAAAAAGAAACAGAACCCGGCTACTGATCTGGTATCTGCAGTTGCTATCTTGCTGATTTTGTAAGTAGACGACTTGAGGTGATCTCGAACTTACTTCCAGGAAATAACAGCTGTCAAGCAAAGAAATGCATAGATTTTTACCAAATAATTCGATTTCTAGACGTTTTCGAAAAGTTTAAAATGATTAATAAAATGACGGTACGAAAACCGAATTGTTGCATTGCATTAAGGTATCGAACCGAACACAAAATACCGCGGTTCTACTAATACCGCGGAAAACCGTTTCACCCCTAGCTGCCTGTCCTCTCGCTGAATGCCAATGTCAATTAAATTGGGCTGGTAACCTCGATAATCTCCAGGGTATACGTTACGATAAATCTCCACTATACCCTGGATGCATCTGCGGCTCGGCCCCATGATTTATTACCTCCCTTGGCTGGCTCTGAATTCTCACTTAGCCAATCAGCTAAGCCGCCGTTACAACCGAGCTTGCCAGTGTCAAAAAAGATAGCGGTCGAAGACGCGAAGGTTTGTTTGCAGTGTGACTCAGATTTGGGGGGAAATCATACAGACAAATTGACAGGTCTGAAACTCTTTCAGAGTACCCCTGCATCAGGTGCGTTGCCAAGTTTAATCGGTTAGATAATTTAAGAAGCGAAAGCGAGTTGTGATTGGTACGCTCAACTTCCCAGAGTAGTTCAGTGGATAAAAAGCCAGCCAAGGGAGGTAATAAAATCATGGGGCCGTAGATGCATCCAGGGTATAGTGGAGATTTATTGCAAAGTGTAACCTGGAGATTATCGAGGTTGGTAACCATGGTAATATCTGTAAAGCTTGCTGCACTGTTAAGTAAAAGAATCTAGTCCACATGCACAAATTAGGGCTGGCTAGATAAATAGATAATCAGAAATATCATTGATAAGAAGAGTTCTCAATGATTATGGATATGAAAATGTCATCAATAATGTTTTACATAAATTCTTGAGAGCAATTGTTTTAATTTACATACATAGTAAGCTGTCATGTTTGTATTTATAGACCATTTCTAAATTATGTTCAGAATGCCGTTATTGATAGTTATTCATGCAAAAATGGGTCACCACTCACTAGTGACATGAAATATGCTGATGTTTTGGGGATTTATTTTACAGATTCTTGCTCAAAGTAGCTTTTCCAACATTTATTAATGATGATTGTTTTAGTTAATGATTATCAAGCTCTATGATTTTATCAACAGCAAGCGGTACTACCAGTATTTGTTTCAGTGAATCATTCAATCTGATAAGGACTGCCTCCGTGGTGTAGTGGTTAGAGCGTTCCGCGGGTTTGATCCCCGACCGCGTCATACCAAAAAGACGTTAAAATATGGTACTTGTTGGTCCCTGCCTGGCGCTCGGCATTAATGGGTACAACAAGGACTGGTCGGCTCGGAGTCAGTATAATGTGTCTGAGTGGGGTATTCATGCTTCACTGCGGCGTGGTATCTCAGTGGGCTAGCACTATAAAACCAGCTTAAGTCTGGGCCAGTACAAGCAGCCGCACCTACACATACACACGCATGCACGTCGTCATATGAGCGAAATATTCTCAAGCACGACGTAAAACCCAATTTCACCTCAACTCATTCTGATAAGGAATGATTAAAATGGTGCAGTCTGTTTTCATTTTGTAGCCCAGTAGTTGTAAACTGTTTTGCTGTTTACTGATGATGACTGAAATACTTGCACATGGATTATTTAGATAGGTGTGAAAGTAAGAACCCCTACAAACACTAGACAAATGTTTTATACAAAACAGCCAAGCAGTATTGGCTTCGTTTAGCATAATGAGCTTTGAACAAAATAGACCGCCTTTGTGGTGTAGTGGTTAGAGCGTCCATCTGGAGAGCGGAAGGTCGCGGGTTCGATCCCCGACCGCGTCATACCAAAAGACGTTAAAATATGGTACTTGTTGGTCCCTGCCTGGCCCTCGGCATTAATGGGTACAACAAGGACTGGTCAGCTCGGAGTCTGTAAAATGTGTCTGAGTGGGGTATTCATGCTTCACTGCGGCATGGTATCTCAGTGGGCTAGCACTATAAAACCAGCTTAAGTCTGGGCTAGTACAAGCAGCTGCACCTACATCTACACATTCACACGCATGCATGTCGTCATATGAGCAAAATATGAGCGACGTTAAACCCAATTTCACCTCACCTCACTTCACCTTTGAACAAAATACATTTATGTCAACATGAAATATTTTAGTCATGAAATATGATGAGATCTTGCAACTCTTTTTTGTTCACACGCCCTCTTGACCAGTTTATGCATGTATCCCTGTGTTTGATCAGTAAATAAATACCAGTTTCAAAACCTGGTAAAGCAATGGTGGGTAATTAGGCCAAGTCCTGCTATTTTTTGGTTGTTAAAAAATAATTCAAAAAGTCTTTGCAATCTAATTTAATTATACCGACCTCAAGATATGATGGGTGATTAGGATCTGATTTTTGTTTTTTAGATGTACAGCCTAACTCTATTTCTGTGTTTTTGCATGCTGGTTAAGTGGTACTGGTATGTATTGGAGTAACTGGTCTGTGATCACATTGATTGCTGTATGTATTACAAGAAGATCCTGCAGCTTGCTTTATAGAGCACTTTCACTTATGGACATTTCCATGCTGCAGTGTTCCGAGAACTACAGAATGTGACGTATATGGAGACGTTGATGCTGTCCCTGCCGGAGCTGGATGAGGAGATAACAGTGGAGCAGATCAAGCCCTACTGGGAGGTCATGGAGGAACTGGTGGAAGATGAGACAGTTCTCTCCCTTGGCATATGTGACCTTGACAAGGCACGGCTGGAAGAGTTGTTTATCTGGGCTAAGGTGGGTTGTCTCCCTTGGTGTATATGACCTTGATATGGGTGAATGAAAATGGTTATGAAAAGGGGCGAAGATAGTTTGTCGCCTTTATTATTTGGGACCTTGACTGTGAATGAAAGAAATATAACTGGGTGAAGATAAGTGGTCTTCCTTGGTATTGGGATGTTGCCATGGGTGAGTGAAGGAGTTCAAAAAGTGGTTATAAAACTAGTTGAGGGCAAGTTGTCTCCCTTGGCATTGAACCGCTTACATGGGTGTGTGAAGGAATTACGAAACAAGGTGAAAATAAGATGTCTCCCTTGGTTTCGGAAGTGGACATGGGTGATCGAAGGAGTTGTCACTGGGTGGAGTAGGTTGTCTCCCTTGGTATGGGACGTTAACATGGGTGAGGGAAGGTATTGTATAACTGGGTGAAGGTAGGTTGTCTCCCTTGGTATAGGACGTTGACATGGGTGTGTGAAGGAATTATGTAACTGGGTGAAGGTAGGTTGTCTCCCTTGGTATGGGACGTTCACATGGGTGTGTGAAGGAATTATGTAACTGGGTGAAGGTAGGTTGTCTCCCTTGGTATAGGATGTTGACATGGGTGTGTGAAGGAATTATGTAACTGGGTGAAGGTAGGTTGTCTCCCTTAGTTTTGGGATGTTGACATGGGTGAGGGAAGGTATTGTATAACTGGGTGAAGGTAGGTTGTCTCCCTTGGTATTGGGATGTTGACATGGGTGTGTGAAGGAATTATGTAACTGGGTGAAGGTAGGTTATCTCCCTTGGTATTGGGATGTTGACATGGGTGTGTGAAGGAATTATGTAACTGGGTGAAGGTAGGTTGTCTCCCTTGGTATGGGACGTTGACAGTGGTGTGTGAAGGACTTATGTAACTGTGTGAAGGTAGGTTATCTCCCTTGGTATAGGACGTTGACATGGGTGTGTGAAGGACTTATGTAACTGGGTGAAGGTAGGTTGTCTCCCTTGGTATTGGGATGTTGACATGGATGTGTGAAGGAATTATGTAACTGGGTGAAGGTAGGTTGTCTCCCTTGGTATTGGGAGGGGCGGTGGGGTAGCCTAATGGTTAAAGCGTTGGCTCGTCACGCCGAACACCCGAGTTCGAATCCCCACATGGGCACAATGTGTGAAGCCCATTTCTGGTGTCCCCCGCCGTGATGTTGCTGGAATATTGCTAAAAGCGGCGTAAAACCAAACTCAGTCAGTCAGTGGTATTGGGATGTTGACATGGGTGTGTGAAGGAATTATGTAACTGGGTGAAGGTAGATTGTCTCCCTTGGTATGGGATGCTGACGTGGGTGAGGGAAGGTATTGTATAACTGGGTGAGGGTAGGTTGTGTCCCTTGGTATTGGGATGTTTACATGGGTGTGTGAAGGAATTATGTAACTGGGTGAAGGTAGGTTGTCTCCCTTGGTATGGGATGCTGACGTGGGTGAGGGAAGGTATTGTATAACTGGGTGAGGGTAGGTTGTGTCCCTTGGTATTGGGATGTTTACATGGGTGTGTGAAGGAATTATGTAACTGGGTGAAGGTAGGTTGTCTCCCTTGGTATTGGGATGTTGACATGGGTGTGTGAAGGAATTATGTAACTGGGTGAAGGTAGATTGTCTCCCTTGGTATGGGATGCTGACGTGGGTGAGGGAAGGTATTGTATAACTGGGTGAGGGTAGGTTGTGTCCCTTGGTATTGGGATGTTTACATGGGTGTGTGAAGGAATTATGTAACTGGGTGAAGGTAGGTTGTCTCCCTTGGTATGGGATGCTGGCGATGTGGGTGAGGGAAGGTATTGTATAACTGGGTGAGGGTAGGTTGTGTCCCTTGGTATTGGGATGTTTACATGGGTGTGTGAAGGAATTATGTAACTGGGTGAAGGTAGGTTGTCTCCCTTGGTATGGGATGCTGACGTGGGTGAGGGAAGGTATTGTATAACTGGGTGAAGGTAGGTTGTCTCCCTTGGTATAGGATCTTTACATGGGTGTGTGAAGGACTTATGTAACTGTGTGAAGGTAGGTTGTCTCCCTTGGTATTGGGATGTTGACGTGGGTGAGGGAAGGTATTGTATAACTGGGTGAAGGTAGGTTGTCTCCCTTGGTATGGGATGCTGATGTGGGTGTGTGAAGGACTTATGTAACTGTGTGAAGGTAGGTTGTCTCCCTTGGTATTGGGATGTTGACATGGGTGAGGGAAGGTATTGTATAACTGGGTGAAGGTAGGTTGTCTCCCTTGGTATGGGATGCTGATGTGGGTGTGTGAAGGACTTATGTAACTGGGTGAAGGTAGGTTGTCTCCCTTGGTATTGGGATGTTGACGTGGGTGAGGGAAGGTATTGTATAACTGGGTGAAGGTAGGTTGTCTCCCTTGGTATAGACGTTGACATGGGTGTGTGAAGGACTTATGTAACTGGGTGAAGGTAGGTTGTCTCCCTTGGTATTGGGATGTTGACGTGGGTGAGGGAAGGTATTGTATAACTGGGTGAAGGTAGGTTGTCTCCCTTGGTATAGACGTTGACATGGGTGTGTGAAGGAATTATGTAACTGGGTGAAGGTAGGTTGTCTCCCTTGGTATTGGGATGTTGACACGGGTGAGGGAAGGTATTGTATAACTGGGTGAAGTTAGGTTGTCTCCCTTGGTATTGGGATGTTGACATGGGTGTGTGAAGGAATTATGTAACTGGGTGAAGGTAGGTTGTCTCCATTGGTATTGGGATGTTGACACGGGTGAGGGAAGGTATTGTATAACTGGGTGAAGGTAGGTTGTCTCCCTTGGTATGGGATGTTGACATGGGTGTGTGAAGGACTTATGTAACTGGGTGAAGGTAGGTTGTCTCCCTTGGTATTGGGATGTTGACATGGGTGTGTGAAGGAATTATGTAACTGGGTGAAGGTAGGTTGTCTCCCTTGGTATTGGGATGTTGACATGGGTGTGTGAAGGAATTATGTAACTGGGTGAAGGTAGGTTATCTCCCTTGGTATTGGGATGTTGACATGGGTGAGGGAAGGTATTGTATAACTGGGTGAAGGTAGGTTGTCTCCCTTGGTATGGGATGTTGACATGGGTGTGTGAAGGACTTATGTAACTGGGTGAAGGTAGGTTGTCTCCCTTGGTATTGGGATGTTGACATGGGTGTGTGAAGGAATTATGTAACTGGGTGAAGGTAGGTTGTCTCCCTTGGTATTGGGATGTTGACATGGGTGTGTGAAGGAATTATGTAACTGTGTGAAGGTAGGTTATCTCCCTTGGTATTGGGATGTTGACATGGGTGATGGGAGGTATTGTATAACTGGGTGAAGGTAGGTTGTCTCCCTTGGTATTTGGATGTTGACATGGGTGAGGGAAGGTATTGTATAACTGGGTGAAGGTAGGTTGTCTCCCTTGGTATGGGATGCTGACGTGGGTGTGTGAAGGTATTGTATAACTGGGTGAAGGTAGGTTGTCTCCCTTGGTATTGGGACGTCGACATGGGTGAGCGAGGGTGTTGTATAACTGGGTGAAGGTAGGATGTCTCCCTTTGTATTGGGACGTCGACATGGGTGTGAAAAAAATATATAACTGGGTGAAGGTAGGTGGTCGTCCTTGGTATCTGAAACATATATTTCTTTGAAATTACAACTGGTTGTCCACCATCAAGTCCACCTGAGAAGATATCTCCTTTTTTCAATCCTTGGTATTAGAAATGACATGAATAGCTTAAAAATGCAGACCCAGTTCATATATCATCAGAACCTGCAGTGAATTTGAAATTGCTCTTTGGACACAACTGCCATAAAAACAACACTAAATGATTTTATGGCATTAAATGATACTTTTAACCTTTCACCTATTTTAATAATGTCTACAAAATGTATCGAAAGATTTGTCAGAATTAAGTTGTCTCCCTTTAAGTAATACCAACTTCATTGAGAGTTATTTTCGCTTTTGACAAATTCTCTAGTCTGTGCTGCCATGACACTTATTCATACATAGGAAAAAACTGCTGCTTTAAACAGTTTAGATTTTTATCATTTAGAATGAAATGTGAGTTGCACATATTGGTGGTTGCAGGTGAAGCCATGTGTGAACCAGGTGAATCTGGCATCATGCTGCGTGATGCCTGCTGATCTGACAGAGTACGCAAAACAGAATGACATCCAACTCCTCACACACAGTGATGAAACAGGTGGATATATATAGAGGATACTAAACGTCCTTCCGTGTAATACCATTTTTAATAGACCCGTGAAGATCCGGGTTAGAATATTGATCTTCAGTAACCCATGCTTGTCTTAAGAGGCAAATATCGGGATCGGTGGTCAGGCTTGCTGACTTGGTTGACACATGTCATTGGTTCCCAATTCTGCAGATCGATGCTCATGCTGTTGATCATTGGATTGTCTGGTCCAGACTCGATTATTTACAGAGCGCCGCCTTATAGCTGGAATATTGTTGAGTGTTGCTTAAAACGAAACTCACTCATTCACACTCACCATTTTTATTAAATGAGTTAATGATTTGGTATAGAACGATCGAAAGCGAGTTTAATACTAAATCTTTCACGAGTTTAATAAAAATGGTAGTTAGCGGAAGAAAAATGTTGTATTCTGTTTATTACTCTCCAACATAAATTGATAGGAACTGCCTACATTGTAATGACTCTCAGCTTTCCCTGAGTCAAGTAGGTCTAATACCATTGTGACAGAGGTATTAGCATTGTTACATCATAACATTGTAGATTTATTAAACAGTGATATCTTCAACAAGTGAGTAATAAAGTTGTCTGTGTCAGGCCAGTGATATAGCCATGTGATCTCTTAGGTGTGGCACCTTCATTATCCTTTCGACATCATCACTGCCAACCCGTGAAGATTAGGGTTAGAATTGACCTTCAGTAACCCATGCTTGTCATAAGAGGCGACTGGCATGTCATCGTATCCCCATTGCGGAAATTGATGCTCATGATGCTGATCACTGGATTGTCTGGTCTAGATTCGATTATTTACGGACCGCCGCCTTATAGCAGGGATATTGCTGAGTGCAATGTTAAACAACAAACCAACCAACCAAATCATTACTGCCACCAGTGTGCAAGCTGTCTTTTCGGGAGTCTTGAAAATTTCCCCTGTAAAACTAAAAGTGATCTAGTATTGACAGGGACAAGTTCTTTCATGTGTTTGGGAATTCCCTTCGAAGATAATTTTACAAAAGTTTTAATTACATGACAAGCAATTATCCAAGAAACAGAGACAGCTATGGACAATGAAAGATAACTCACTAAACTGCATTACCTACAAGGGGTGGAAATAACTTTAAAAGACTACTGTACTCGTTTACAGTGGCATGTATATCACTTGCCCTGTACATTTTTGAATATATTTCATTTTTCTTGGGATTTGTCATAAACAACATAATTTTAAAATAACGGATAATGTAATCACAGAATTACTACCAACACATCTTGAATAGCTGGACTCTTTTCGGGGTCTTGGGTTATTTCCCCTGTAAAACTATAAAAGATCTAGTATTGACAGTCTGACTGTGTATGAGTTTGGGAATTCCATTCTAGGAATATTCCAGCTACAAAAGGAACACCAGACATGGACTTACACATTTACCCAGATGAATTTTATAGACTGGGGACAATGAACTTGAGCTTTCTCTTTAACCACTCAGGCTACCTACCGCCCCTCCTGGGTTAGAACTGGTCTTCAGCAACCTATGATTGTCATAAGAGGCAACTAACGGGATCGGATGGTCAGGATCGCTGACTTGGTTGACATGTGTTTGTCGTAAGGGGTGACCAACAGGAACGAGTGGTTAGGCTCACTGACTTATATAGATTGGGGACTTAGTCTTTTGGGTGTCATCATACCCAAACAGCTTTTGTCATTGTTCACTGGATTGTCTGGTCTGGACTCATTTAGCTGGAATATTACTGACTGCTGCATTAAAAGATGGATGTTAGGGTCTGGACTTATTGGATGTTTTGGTTGTGTTTGTTTGTTGCAGAACCTAGGAGGTTCAGTGTTGATTATCGTTTCAGAGGTACAGATAAGCCGCGTATCTGCGTAAATTACGTAATATATTTATGTGAAAACTCAATTCCTATGACGTCTATTGCGTAGATGTACGCTTGAATTTTTGTAAATACTCAATATGTTTGATCTTACATGCGTACACACAAAAATGTTAAGGTATATTGAGAGGTTCTATTTCAGCATATGAACTTGGAAACTTGCAGTCTTTCTTATCGTTTCTCATATGACAGATCAAATATAGATACTTGACTTTCGTAAAACCAACATTTAAACTTTATTATATTTTTACAATGAATGGAAAATAGCAAAATACCCAATTGAGTTTGTGTGAGGTGGGTACAATTTATTTGGTTACTCAAAAAATAATTAGGATACCCAATTGAGATGAACACAATAGAGTACATAACTCAATGACCCAAAAAGGTATCTGTAGCTCTGTCGTTTGTGTTTGTTTGCAGAGATCATGCCAGTGAAGACTCTTCAAGACTCCATCAAGGTCTGCGCGACGGAGAAAGACAGTGAACTCTGGGAGCCTGCATGGACCCTGCGATACTCTGTCATTGTCAAATGTCGAGGAATTGTCAAAACGAAAGGCTACATTTTCAAGGCAAACCGAGTCGCAAAAAAGAAGTTGACTTAAGATCTGTGTCACCTTTGGACATTATTTATGATTTTGCACTTAGTGATTTATGTGAGCTGACACAAAAATGAAAAGTATATAATACGCACACTTTTATTTTCATGTACAAAGACATGTCAGTATATATGTTCAGCATACAATCATGATAATCAGTATGGTTAGACAAGACCGCTAGTCTTTTTGTCTGAGACTAGTAAAATTCTAGAGGGACCAGTTGTTTTCTAACCAAATCTAATTATTTTACATCAACAACTGCAGATTACTGGTAGTTGAATGTGACTAATAGTGGACTCCAATAAAGTAGGCTTCATAGTTGAATAGGTGCTATTTCAGTGTTTACAAACGTGGCATTGTTTTTGTGTAATGGCAGTTGAGTCAGAAGCGACCACCAAGGTTCTAGACATATAACCATCGTGGTTAATATAGTAAGGGCAGCAGTTTTGTTTTCTGTTTCCCATCGACCGACTGACCCTTCTAATTTTATTGCCGACCCCCCACGCCCAAACTTTTTTTTTTCATACCAACACTGCCGATTGGAACCTAATACCTACCGCCTTGTCATATAAAATGTTTATCTTCTAATCAGTCGCTGCCACAAGTACAAAGAATGCGAGAATTGTAATAAGAATTACAATAAATAAGAATCAAGAACATTATTCAGATAATTTTGTCTTTATTAATTTTTTATTTTTTTCGACCCATGTTCCTAATTTGGTGGCTACATGAAACACATAAAAAATGATGCCGTAATAGTAACTTATTAAGGACACTCTCAGGATCGGTTTCATTACCTGTGCTTGTAAACGTCTGCTGGTTAGAGCCTCTCAAATTTGAAACAGTTGCATATCACAGGAATGTGCTTGAAATGTTACCTTGCTTTATTCTGTCGCTGTCTGGACTTCTGACTGCTTTTTTATGATGTTAGGTTAGGCCTGGTAGATGTGTGATGTCTGATCAACAAAATCTGTTCGCCTTTAATAAAGGTTGAGGGGTGGTGGGGTTGCCTAGTGGTTAAAGCGTTGACTCGTACAATGTGTGAAGCCCATTTCTGGCGTACCCGACTGTGATATTGCTGGAATATTGCTAAAGGTAGCGTAAAACTATACTAAATCACTCACTGATAAAGAGTGTTGAATCAAGCTGACAGACTTATCGATTACAAAAGATGATCACTGACAAAGTTGAAGAAATATTTGTAGGCAGCTGTCTCTTTCATCTAAATTCTAGTGAAGCCGAAACAAGTTTCAGTTTGGAGGGGCATGTTGTCTCTGTCTCACATACTCATCCCCCCACCTTGTCACGTAATATGTACATGATGATGATGATGGTGATGATGATGATGATAGTCTCATATATACATGTGTGAACATTCCAGAAACACTGGTAATGTTCAGGGGGGTTGTGAGAGAGTATTCGTAATACTAGATATTTACATCCCAACATTCTTGCATTATAACACCCATGTGCTGATTTATATTGAAGTGATTTTCATAATGGCACAGGGCTCCAGATAACTTTTGGGGGTGCGAGTGTACTTACACATCATATTGCAAGTGGAGGTGTACTGAGAATTTTGAAGGAGTACTGACATGTTTTGTGTGAGCGAGTTGGTGATGTGGTTTGTCTGGACCATTCATCGATCACTATTTCCAACCATGTATTTGTATTTGAAGACGCGTGAGAAATAACTGAGCGACCGTGTGATGCGCGAAATGTCAGGTCCGACTGGATATAAATAGGAAGTGTGGTTTTTAGCCAATCGATAAATAGTGACGCATATCATTGCATGGCAACGCATGTGATTCCTACTGTCGGGGTTTCCTCATGTGTCAAATCGTGTTTCGCAAAAGAAACTTGACAAGTATTTATCCGAAATAGATTTCCATTTGCACGATACGCACTGGAAATTAAATGTTAGACGTACAAGGTATTTATGTGCGTACACGATACGCTTGAAATCTTATATTATGTCGTACTTAATTGATTTTGAGGCGTACATTACGCCTGTACGCCCCTTATCTGGAGCCCTGATGGCAAATTATGGAATTTTCATCAGTGCTTGCAAAGTGGGGATTGCAATAGCAGTGTGCGAAATAGTTTCCAAATTTTGCTAGCCAGTCGGGCTAGCTATACCTGAAAGTTATTTTCCCACAAAATAGTTCACTTGTCTGAAATTTGAATATAGACACAGGTTTCATCATTAATCTGCTAATATGATGAACATTTTTATCAGGCCATCATCTTGCATGATTTTAAAGTGTGTTTTAACTTAACAAGTAGGAGAGAGTGATATATTTACAAGATGACCCCATGAAAATTCACTAGCCAGTCAGTGACTGGAGATTTACTGGACCGACTGGATTTTTACTAGCCACAGGCTAGCAGGCCAGTGGCTATTTCGCACACTGAATAGAAGTGATTTTGCATGCTTGGAAGGGTTTTAGCATTTCTGTATGTTTATATTACACTTAATCTCAATGATTGAAGGATCTCAAGGACAAAGCTTCTGCATGGCATCTGTCAGCTCTCTCTCAACATTTTTCAAACCAGCTGAAGCTCGTTGTTAGCTTTAAACATTAGTATGATATATGGGACAATTGTTGTAAATTTGTTGTAGAAAAACATTTTGCTAAATAAAAATATAATGTTTAAAAATTGACATACTATTCTACATTAGTGAAAAAAATTAAGATCATCTTTTCAGTAATTTGCCTTGGATAATCCAAACTAAGGGTTTCTGGAAGGCAGCCAGTAAAAAATGTTCCTTTGTTCAAATTTGGATTTAAAAAACCCATTTCCCTAAAGTCACAGGAATTTTAACATTGAATTTTAACATTGCAATCATGCCATGTCCATATGTGAGAATCATGTTCCTTGTGTTAGAGCGGTGGGGTAGCCTAGTGGTTAAAGTGTTGGCTCGTCATGCCGAAGACCCGGGTTCGATTCCCCAGATGGGCACAATGTGTGAAGCCCATTTCTGGTGTCCCCTGCCGTGATATTGCTGGAATATTGCTAAAAGCGGCGTAAAACTAAACTCCCCATCCTTATTTGTGAACTCCTATCCTTACATTCAAACCCGATCCTAACAGAACCTGTCACTATGCTTATGTGAGGACCATCCTTATGAAATGCCATTTTCTTATATGGGAATCCCTATCCTTCTGCGAGAATCCCAATTCTTATGTGAGAACCCATATCATTATGTTTGAACCACTGTGAACTTCACCGCTGTCTTGCCAAAATGGGACCAGGGAAGTCTTGAGTACAATGTTTCACATCATGCAATTCAAAATGATCCACCTGTGAGACTGCTTGTTGTTAATGAGATAACTGAATCTGACTTCCAATGCATGTGGACCCGTGAAGTAGGTCTTCAGCAACCCATGCTTGCCACAAAAGCGACTGTGCTTGTCGTAAGAGGCGACTAACGGGATCGGGTGGTCAGGCTCGCTGACTTTGTTGACACATGTAATCGGTTCCCCATTGCGCAGATCGATGCTCATGCTGTTGATCACTGGATTGTGTGGTCCAGTCTTGATTATTTACAGACCGCCGCCATATAGCTGGAATATTGCTGAGTGAGGCATAAAACTAAACTCACTCACTCACTCTAATGCATGTGAGTATCAATGAACTTCCTTGTTACCTGGGGTACGGTGGGGTGCCTAGTGGTTAAATCGTTCGCTTTTCATGCCAAAGACCTGGGTTCATTTCACCTTATGGGTACAATGTGTGAGACCCATTTCTGGTGTCTCCCGCTGTGATATTGTTGAAATATTGCGAAAAACGGCATAAAACTACACTCACTCCCACACCTCACCTCAATGCGTAGCCTTTTCAATGAGTACAAGTCTCAAAATCATGGGTAGTCTTAGCACGATTTATAAACCATCTCAGTCCAGCTGTTCTGTTGCATATCAACCCCATGTATTTTCTTGATTAATTAAATTTCCTTTGACTTTGTATAATATTAATTTGTGATGGTGTAAATATGATTTGGGAAACAAGATATCAAGAGTTCAGATTACATGAAAATCATGGAGGTTCTGTGGTGGTGCGTTGTCCGTCAGAGGTTTGCCTTTTCAACATCTCTGAAACTAAAAGGCTTTGATGCTGAATTTTCTCAGCTCTATTGTGTGTAAAACCTGTTAAAGTTTCAATTTTATTTTAAACATCCATTTAGAAATCCATCATTGCCTGTCAGACAGAATGATCAGCCGATCACACATCTGTTTTAAAGTATTGAAATTTTGCAGTGATGTAGTGGTGAAATGGTAAATAATCTTGTCTAGTGATGTTTAATTGCAAATTTGATGTCTTCACTGACAAAGTCATTTTCTCTTGTTTATTCACATGAAACGATACGATGTCATTTCCTTACTGGTCACCAGAAAAAAAAGTTGGACGAAAGTATTACCTGTAGATAAGCCGACCCCCTTCTACAGGCTGCTATTTTTTGTCATCAAAATTCGTCTTATCTATAGTAATATACGGCACCAGTTGGATCTAACATTTACTTTCCCTTCTCTTTGCATTAATACATTGAGCTTGCTGTGATGGACCATGAATATCAAAGTAGGTGCAAAACTGGAAAAACATGTCCGAGATCCATTGCAAAGTAGCTTGTGACCAACTTCCTCACATTATCTACATACATGGGAGCAATGGCACTGAAGTAGGTTCTTACAGATGGTTCAAGCAAAATTGGAAGATGTATCTTTACCTCATTATAGACGCTTTGCCAAAATGTCTGTGGAGGTGCTGTGAACTGGTAACCTTTTTAATCAGGTGAGCTACAGAGCCTTGTAACTGTTGTTTTTGTTGATTTTGTTCCCTTTAGTCATGACAACTTGACAGGGTAGAATATGTTTGTCTTGCTCAAACAAAAGGCAGCATGTGTGGCTATCGACATGTCACAATTGTCCCCACCCTCTAAGATTACTACAATGAAACTGTTTTCATGCCCTTAACATACTGCTTCTTTAGTATTATTTTATTATAGGATATTTATATAGCGCACATTTCCACGCACTAGTGCATGCTCAAGGCGCTTCTTTCCCTTTCATTGGTGGATGATGTAGATCTTTTATATTTTCTCTTATTCTTTAGAGTTTTATAGAAAACGAATATATACGCTACATGTAATCTGGTATTAATAGCAAGCTTTTGTCAAAACCAAAGCATTATCTTTCATGGAGTTCAGGCCCCGATTTCTCGAAACAAACTTAAGTTTTTACTCAAATTTCAAACTGAGTTTGACTATTTGAAACAGCTGAATTTTAACTCAGCTGCATTTTTAAAATACAAAAAGCACAAACAACTTCAGTATTCTATTTACCAAACTTAACTTATCTATTATGTTTCAATTAAATATCGATTTCAGCTCATTCTGGGAAATGCGATTTTCTCAAATTTGAGTAAAAACTCTAACTTAAGTCAAAACTCAGACTTAAGTTTGTTTCGAGAAATCGGGGCCAGATCTCTCAATGACAGGTAATCTGAGTATGATTACTCATTGGCTGTTTGTGATTATGTATACTG